TTTAAATAATGCGGTAATTTTAATCCAATACGTTTTAAATTACCTCGAAAGTGATTCGGTAATGAAGCAGTGAATTTAAAAGGATTTTTTATAAATTTATTATTAGTAATATTATTGTTACTATGTGAATTATCAAATGATCGAACAAAATCAAAAAATCCTTCATTACTGGAAGAAGAAGATGGGGATGATGATGGTGGTACATGAAGATGTAAAGTTAAAGCATGTAAATGTAAACTAATATATCGTACTTTAGATTGTCTAATATTTAATACTTCTAATAAAGATTTTGGTAAACGTTGAGGTGCTAAATATTCAGCATGTGAATATTTATGATCACCAAGTATAGGAGTTTGTAACCCAAATGCTAAATGAGCTCGAATTTGATGTTTTATACCTAGAAAACATATGAAAAGATTACGAGACAATGTGTTAAAAGCAACATTTCAAAGTCATATAATATACCCTTGTGGGTCAAGGTAATTTTACATTGGTTTTCAAGAGAACTGCACACTTTCCAAACTTTCACGTGACAACCAAAACAGTACACCTCAATTCTGTTAAACAAAAGAACCAAACACTGCCCAGGCTTAAATTTTATAACCCGACCAGTACATCTCAATCCCTCTTCACACGAGGACTAGACACCATATAAGCTTTAACGCTACAATCTGAATAGTACAGATCAATCCTGTGGCGCAACCACACAGGTACCCAGTAACCTGGTGGACCATTCGCACTATCCATATACATATTCACGTCACATGCATAGTTATTCCGATCAATGATCGCATGAATCAATTGTGCACATCACGAACAGGTCAAACTTCACCTATTCCGCTTACACGACAGTCAAACTCATTAATGTTAGCAATGGTGACATGCCTTACAATGTCCCAATGATAATGGCCCTTGAGAACACTGAAAATCAACCACCAGTATGAATGAAATCGGTTAACCAACAGACCAATTTCATGCATAAACAGTCAGTAAAACTTGCCAAAGTAATCCCGAACCATCCACAATGCCATTGGCGAACCTCCAGTCTCATATGAGACTTTCATCTCTAGATAGCAATATAGATTATATTGCATATAAAACATGCAGAGTAGTAAACGAAATAGCCAAACCTGAAGCGTTAGGGCTTTAACAACATTTAAAACCCATTGCCTGGTGTCAGAATAGTATTACTAGACCACCAAGATCATTTTTATCGCATTTACGAAGTTTTTATTTTTCCGACTTTTCAGACCCTGAGTTAGAGATAGTATCCTTAAAATTGTAGAAAGAAACTATCCTAATGTACCAGTAAGATTTAAGATGGAGATTGTTAGATTGATGTAACTACTTCTATGAATTCGGTGTTCATTTAATGAGTAAGGTGTGGCAATTTGGACCGACGCATATATGTGTCTAGTCCTACGACGTTGTAGCTGACTGACTGTTAGATTGTTGCATGAAATTCGAAACCTAATGACTAACACCTTGTAACTTATTACTATGTAAGAACTGAATAAAACAATACTGGGATCTAGGCGGCGTGGGGGGGGGCGAAATCAAGTGAACCGTAAAATGAGGGTATGTAAAAAGATCAAATTATTCACGAAAACAACTGAAATCCGGAAATGGGTAGTATAACGAGGTAACTTAAAAGTGTTTGAGATTCCAATTTAAATATTTGCAATTATTCATTATTACAATCACAAACAGAATGCTTCCCATATCCTGACTATAAATGCCTTACCATTTACTGAAATAAATCATTCAGCATGTTGGGACTTACTCATCATGTGATTTTATCACTGCTCTATAAACTACATGCTGTTTTCTGACCAGTTGTCAAGTCATTCAACGTTAATGGTACAATTTGCTGATCCATTTGATAATATAACTTAGTCAATTGATATCTAAAATTCAGAGATCCAATGAGTGGAAGGTCATGATGATTGTATAGATCAATGGTTGATCCGAAATCCACTCCCAACCAAGTGATCTCACTATCACTTCAAATATATATTTCAATACTATATCACTGATAATTAACATATAGGGACCATTTAAATAAAACAAACAGACAGAATAGTATATATTTATTCATACTGATATAACAGGTATATGCAGGAAACTGTTGCTATAATCTATAAATACTGAATGTTAGTTGTTAAGATCAAACTTAAAGTAATGATAATGTTATCATGTCAAATGAATGAAGTTATGAAGATTAGTTCATAGACAACTGGTGAGCAATTGGAAATTAAACATTATTGAACAGGTTCGTTTGATTTAGGCCAGAAATCACCAGAACACTAACATGCACTGAAAAATTGTCTTGTCTCGAAATGATAATCATTATTTTTAACTGATCAAGTCGAAGTATAATAGTTCAACAATTTCACTATCAAGTCAATATATACAACATAATTTAACAGTTGAATTCATGAGTCAATTAAAGCTAGACTACCTATGGAAAACCTGGAAGCACTGGAAGGCTATATGGGACTTCTCAACAGTGCGCATCCATGATCCCGCTCGCAGGATTCGAACCCACGATAAGATATTGGTCCAAACATATCATATAGATGAAACAATATCATGAAGACGAGACAAAAACATATAACACAATACGTTATAGAATTAAGCAAATTAACAACATAATAAACAATAAAAATCAAAACAAACCAGTCAATGTAGAACAAAGCATTAATGCAGCATCATTTCGTCTATCCATTAAATGATACCAAGTAGTTGGTTGACTATGATTTGTTTGCATTTTATCATATAGTACAGAGAAAGCATCTGTTACATCATATTCATTCGCTTCATTATTTATATCTAATTGTGTTTGTTTACAAGTTAATTCTTGTAGATGACGATTTAGTTGAGGAGCACACATCTAAAAAATAAGAGGCGATGAAAAGAAAAAAATATAACTAATATACACATAACCATTAAGAGATTTTGTGGAGGTTTTAGTGGTTTAATAGCTAAATTCATGAGTCAATTAAAGCTAGACCATCATGGAAAACATGGGAGCAATGGACAACCGTTTCGCCCTAGTATGGGACTCTTCATGAATTCAACTATTAAATTACTAAAATCTCCACGAAACCCCCCTTCTGATAATAATGTGCTCACTGGTGACTGACTTCAAGAGGTATTTCCTAGAGTTCTAGTGAGAAGCCAAGACCAAGAGTTCAGCCACGTCTGTTGTGAGATAGTAACTCACTGATGACAATGATGGACGGTGCCGTTGGATGTCGGCCAGCTCAGTGGTCTAGAGGTTACGCGTTCGCGTGCGAGACCGAAAAGTCCTGTGTTCGAGTCCCGCGGGCGGGATCGTAGATGCGCACTGTTGAGGAGTCATGTATTAGGACGAAACGGTCATCCAGTGTTTCCACGTTTCCCATGGTGGTCTAGTTTTAATTAACTAATGGATTCAACACACAATTAAAAATAAGGAATTCAACTGTACGCTCATATGTATGTGATAAATATTTGTAAATATTTTGAGGAGGAGTTAGACTTTCCAATGGATATTGTTAATAAAAATTGTGTAAAACTAAGTTGAAAATTGAATGATCTTCACAAACCTCTCCACGCTAATTTTATGTTTGAGATTCTGATTTATTCAAGCATTTTACAACGCTTTCACAATCAGCTACGCCCAGTAAAAAGACTAAGGGTGCGCAGGAATCAAAACTACGATCATAATGAATACAATTTATGAATAGATATAAGAAACAAGATTATTGTAGATAGAGACATGTGAGCGGTGATTTGGAATGGGTGGATAATTTGTTTACTCATAATAACTCACCAATGAGTGGATTTCTAACCAAAATTGTGGCCTTATGACAGTATATGATCTCTTGGAGTGACATGTGATCCATTTAGGCTTTTCCGGTGTATATATAACCCAATAAATGACTAACTAAAAGATGATTTCTCGAATACCCAGAAAGAATCTATAACTAGTAGAGCTCAATCATGTCAAGATTGAGACAAATACTATCAGGGCTAATGAATGATTTTTTGGTTGTATCGTAAATTTATTGGGTTTGAATGTGTAAATTATTGGATTTCAGGTTAAAAAAAGGTCCACTGACAACGTGAACTGTATGCGATATGAAAGAATCCTGTGTACGATAACTGAAAGAGTTGTAAAGACTCATTACTTTTCAGTAATCCAATAATTGCCGATTTTTTGACAGCCTTAAATCTGATACGTTGTGAACGGGAACATATATGGAGGGCAACCAGTTCTTTGGTCAAATGTGAAAACTATACATTCGATACTACGTTTGCGAATCCCCCATCGATAGTTTCAAACTTCAATGTTCCTTCATTACTGTAACAACTACTCTCTGTTCTTATTCTTTTCGATTTGATCTTTCCAACCAGTCATTTTATTTCTGATTGATGTTATATACTACTTATGTCGACATAAGTAACCAAGGATGAACCCCAGATTATCAGGTAATTCACACAGATAACTAATTCAAAATCAACAACTACGTACTGATAATTCTGTTCAATTTTCTAAACTAAATGTCCTGATTCTATTCATTAATAAATCTGAACTCATTAATAGACAACAGATCACAAAAAAATGAAGAAACGATCAATAATGTTATCCATTGAATTCACTTCATGTTATAACTTTGACAATAATTTATTGAAATTAATCTAACGAATTGTAGTTATGGTGAAAATAAATGGAATTTATTATATAATGAACAACTTCATAACCAAATAAACATGTTAGTTGCTTCTATTTAACAATATCTGTTGGTAACCATAAGCGATGATCCTTCTTCTAATGTTATCTTGATAAGAACAGATGATAATCTTAACGGAAATGACATGGCTGTAAGTTATATTGCTATCTAGAGCTGAAAGTCTCATATGAGACTGGAGGTTCGCCAATGGCATTGTGGATGGTTCAGGATTATTTTGGCAAGTTTTACTGACTGTTTATGCATGAAATTGATCTGTTGGTTAACCGATTTCATTCATACTGGTGGTTGATTTTCAGTGTTCTCAAGGGTCATTATCATTGGGACATTGTAAGGCATGTCACCATTGCTAACATTAATGAGTTTGACTGTCGTGTAAGCGGAATAGGTGAAGTTTGACCTGTTCGTGATGTGCACAATTGATTCATGCGATCATTGATCGGAATAACTATGCATGTGACGTGAATGTGTATATGGATGGTGCGAATGGTCCACCAGGTTACTGGGTACCTGTGTGGTTGCGCCACAGGATTGATCTGTACTATTCAGTTTGTAGCGTTAAAACCTATACGGTTTCTGGTCCTCCTGTGAAGCGGAATTGAGATGTACTGATCGGGTTATAAAATTTAAGCCTGGGCAGTGTTTGGTTCTTTTGTTTAACAGAATTGAGGTGTACTGTTTGGGTTGTCACGTGAAAGTTTGGAAAGTGTGCAGTTCTCTTGAAAACCAATGTAAAATTACCCTAGCTCTTAAGGGTTTATTATAAAACTAATAATAATTATCATAACAGTGAAAGTGTTTATTTGGTTTTAATTGAACAATGCTTGTTAAAAATGACATCCATCTCAATATAAAATCGGTTAGAATTTACCAGTTACGAATTCATATCAGAAATTTTCGGAATATGTTAATTAGTTAGTCATAATCGGTGTAAAATGTGGCATATATCAGGATCAGTTCAAGTTGTCACATCATATCAGTTGTACAATGAGATAAAATTACCAAGACAGTTATGCTAGAGTAGTAAGAATAATAACAGTATTAAAATGTGTGCTACAGATGTCGACAGATATAAGTAGTATGTACCATCAATTGAAAGTGAAATGCCTGGTGGCATTTAAGAAGATCAAAGAAAAGAGAACGAGAACAGAGGATAATTGGTGTGGAAACGAAAGAACAATGAAGTCTGAGACAATTAATTGACATTTTGCAAAGGAAGTATTTACTATATGGATCTTAGATTGTACTAAGATGCTCTGTAATTTTGTGTTTAAATACATTCAATTGTCCTCGCTTGTATTCTCGTTCACTACAGTATTACTGATAGTAGAAAACACTAATTATATACAACATGATTAGAGGGAAAAAACAATCAAGTAGCATAATAAAAGGCATAAATGATAAGTCTTGTCGATTGAACGCTATATTCGTTTTCCTAAGCTATTCTGGTAACCCACAGGCTAGAACTACACAGCGACTTGAACACCAGAGAGAAGACGCAAGTATGAGAGAAAATACTTTACTCCAAGGTTCGTTTTTGTACAGAAAATCATGGGTATTTATAGATGTTGGCGTTTGTTAAATCAACATCATATTTTGGCCAATCCGTTAGCGACATATTATGCTACTGACCAATAGTAGCACGCCACTTTGGAATTCCAGAATTCTCCATCGTGCTGTGATTGGCTAGGACTCTTCGGCTCCTTTTGGGCCTCTGAAGGCTCCGTTGAAGTTCTCCGAAAGCCGACTCAACAATAAACATTTTAAAACTCAAGATCTAAAGGAAGATAACAAGTGTATCTCTCTATAGCATTATGATTCATTCTGAGCTATATCAACTAATGTACTACAATTATCATTAGTTAAGAGAGTTTCATGTAATCCACTCAATCAAGTAGTAGTCTGTATTTCTCTACACGATTCAATCCAACAATCAGCAAATTCATGAAATAATGCTAATCTTGGTCTACTCTCTGGAATGTATTTCAGTCAACTAGATTTTAAATGAAGTGATTTTTTTAGTGTTTCACAGCTCATTTCATGGAGATACCTTCGTACTCGGTAGAAAGATACTTTATCAATGGAATAAATTGAATAGATTATTTTTATAGTTTAAAAAAACACACAACAACAAAACAACAACGTTAATTTACTTTACGAATTCCATTGAAATTTCGTTCAACTAATGGCAATTGTATATAACCATAATCTGATCTTGGTATACCAACAGTAATACATAAATAATCTTTTTTAATCCAACGTCTTGCAAATGCCTCTTGAAGTTTTAATGCAGAATCTTTATTTCTTATCAAGAGAAATTGATAAAACGACTACATAATATAAATGATAAATAGCTATGAATATTAATGATGATAAATCAATATTGGTGAACATTAGAATGATTTCTGTTATACATAGAAGACACTATTTAAAAACTGTTTCAATAGTTGAGATCGAAAGTCACTTGAAGATAGACAACCATGGAAAATCTGGAAGCACTAGACGGCTGTTTCGTTCTTGCATAGAACTCCTCTGCGGTGCGCATCCACGGTTCCGCCTCCTGCGAGATTCGAACCCAGGATCTACCGGCCTCGCGCGCGAGCGCATAACCATTAGACCACAGAGCCGTCATCCAAACGTGTTAATGTCTAAATTCAACCAATCCACGAAATTGCGCCACCGTACGCCATTGTCTTCAGTGAGCTGATATCTCACAACAGATCTGGGTGAACTTCACTGGTGATGGCTTCTCACTAGAACTCCGGGTCAGTTGTGAGATAGTAACTCACTGATGACAATGGTGGATATGTCGCTTAATTTCGTGAATTAGTTGAAGGTAGATATTAACACTGTTGGATGTCGGCCAGCTCAGTGATCTAGAGGTTACGCGTTCTCATGCGAGAACGAAAAGTTCTGGGTTTGAATTTCGCGAGGCGGGGTCATGGATGCGCACTGCTGAGGAGTCCTATGCTAGGACGAAACGGCCGTCTACTGCTTCCAGGTTTTCCATCGTGGTATAGCTTCAATTAACTCATGATCTCAACTATTGAAATTACTAAAGTCTCTACAAAACCCCTTCTGATACGTTTCAATGTTCATAAAATCATAAAACAGTCAGATGTACAACTGGACGATGTACTACGAAGTTCTGCACTAAATTTGTAAAACTTAGTCTTTTCAGGATAAAAAAGTTCGATAAGATATGCCTGCTTAATTATCACTACCTTTGAAGAATCACACTTATTCAAATGGTAACACTGCATAAAAAAAATGTTATATATAAGCAAAGATGGATGGTGGCTGACAGCGGAATCAAGTTTGACGCGCGTTTTGTCCTAGTTGGAACTCGTCGGCTGGATGTACTTGCACATCAGAGTTGATTTTCACTCCGGGACCCGAACCCAGTACCGTTCGCTTTAAACACGTTCTCCACTTAGTTACTGAGTCCTCATAGCCCCTTGCTTGTGCAATAGGGTGAAGTTTTAATTCACTTGATATTGTATGCTTGAATCTTCCCACTGATGTTTACGACTTATTTTATTTTAACACATAGATATTGGTACAAGAAGACACCAAATAAATATGCGCCACACATATCGCATTTGATGTGTGAGGGCTGTGATACTGCCGGAGTGCCCAAACTAAAACAGGTGGTTTTCTAAGGGGGCCACAGCCCGGAGCCTTCGACCTAAAGGTCTGTTCCACAAGGCAGTGGAACATCGTGAGGAGATGCAGTCACATGATAGCCAGTGACCAACGATTGGTTCATACGCCATTTATTCCTTCAGGATACTGGAGCTCATGTGCACTATTGGTTTGGAATCAGGGTTTTCCAACTTCCCTAGGTGGACTCTCCATGTCCACCGACCCAGTTAAAGCGCCGGACATTCGCTTTTCGTCCTCTCAATTTCGTAAACAACACCCCAGCCACTAGGAGGCAATAAGTAGGACTTCCCTGGCAGATGCTATATCAGTCAGTCAGTAACAACGTAGAACTTCGTACGTACGTACATCAGTTCGAGTTGCCACACCACATTAGCACAGAGATGCAGTTGTCGATTCAAATCCTGTAGTGGTAGAGGTTATAAGAGTATAAGCAGTAATCGGGAAGATTAGGGTTTGGAGATGTTATTTAAAGAGTATAATCCAGTGAAATAAATTTGGAAAGAGGAAAAAAGAGACATGAAGAATTCAGAAGATTAGAATTTGGGAGAACACAGAGAGTGGATGCACCTGCGCCATTGCAAACGATTTTGAGCCATGTCATTCAGGGTCTCTAACCATCGGTTGCTGTTATCTCGCGGTCCCCAACCAGGTAGTCTACACCTACCAACATGACTCAGTCCACTTGTCAGTGACTTCATGGACTTGTGCCATGTTTTGGTTTGGCCGCCCCTAGCTTTCTTCCAACCTGCTCCTATACCATTGAACATAGCACGTCGAGGCAGTCGGTGGTTGGGCATACGTAACACGTGTCCCAGCCATCTCAACTGATGAAGTTTCACTACTTCATCAATTGATTTGCCATCCTTACCTAGTACCCGTCTCCTAACAACTGTGTTACTTACTCGATGGTCCCATGATATACGAGCAATGTTTCGAAGATACCTATGGTCAAATACTAGTAACCTACGGATATCCTCTACTCTTACCGGCCATGTTTCACTGCCATAAAGTAGGACGGAACGAACTGCTGCGCAGTAAACACGTCCTTTGGTTGATAGACGGATATCTCGCCTACGCCATAAATGACACAAGTTGGCAAAAGCTAGTCGAGCCTTCTGTATCCGTGCTGAGATTTCGTCACACACTAAACCACAAGGGCTGATGAGACTTCCAAGATAAGTGAAGCGGTCGACACACTCAACTACTTCACTCCCTATCACTAGTTCGGGTGTCGATGTAACCCAATCCTGAAGCAACATTTTGCATTTCGAGGGAGAGAATCGCATCCCGAACATGCTTGCATTGTTGCTTAGAGTGGTCAGAAGACTCTGCATTTTGTCAGCGTCTTCACCAAATAAAACTATGTCATCTGCATATTCTAAGTCAACAAGTGAACCTCCCGGTACAAGTTCAACCCCTGGAAATTTAGATGAGGAGAGTGTTATCTCTAAAAGTACGTCAATGACAAAGTTGAACAAGAATGGGGAGAGTGGACAGCCCTGACGAACACCACTTGAGGTAATCAATTCTGATGACAGTTCGCCATAAGCTCTCACTCTACCAGTTGTGTTCGAGTAGAGAGCCTTTATAAGGTTAATGCACTTCTTTGGTACTCCTTTCAGTGACAAACACTGCCATAGAACCTCATGATGAACGGAGTCGAATGCCGCCTTAAGGTCGAGAAATACTACCATTGTGGGGCGTCTGAATGTGTGTCTCTGTTCTAGAACCTGACGTAGTGTGAATATCTGATCTATACAACCACGTCCAGGTCGAAAACCAGCCTGGTTTTCTCTAGTCTGCTCTTCACGAGCTTTGATTAGGCGTCGAAGTATTATTGAGGCTAATATTTTAGACACTATATTAGTCAAACTGATTCCTCTGTGATTGTCACAAGAGGACTTTTGTCCTTTCTTATAGACTGGCACAATCAGTGATTGAGACCAGTCAGATGGGATTACGTACAGTTCCCAAATTCTACCTAAGACCTCGGTTAATCTCATTGCTAATACTGGACCACCATCCTTAAAAATCTCAGGAGTAAACCTGTCAGGGCCTGCTGCTCTCCCTCGTTTCAGATTTCCTATGGCTTTTTCAACTTCGTAAAGGAACGGAGGACCTACATTAACTTGCCATTCAGGTTGACTGGAGATCGTGGGAAACCGAAGTGTGGCTGAAGGCCAGTTGAACTGATCCCTAAAGTGTTCTGCCCATCGATCCAATCTCCTGGATTGAGAATGAATAAAATGTCCATCTTTCTCTGAGATTGTTTCGCTAACGGTCGGGTTCCTAATTCCGGTTTCCTTAACGAGTCTAAACAATTGTCTGCTATTACCTATTGCCGCTGCCTTTTCCATCTCTCTTGCTTTCGCTACCCACCACTGTTCGCGATCATTGCGTAGACTTCTTGTCAGCTTGCGCTCTAGCTGACTCCGCTCTTCATTATGTTCAGAGCCAGGTAGAATGAGTTTTCGAGCATCTATCAGTGCGATAGATGCTGCTGAGATCCAGTGTTGCTCCCTAACCTTCTAGTTTACCTTACTAGCAGATATCACTGCTGTTTCCACAGCTTTTCGGATATCGTTCCATGCTGCCTCGGGGTGGGCATCACATACATGGCTGCCTAACTGTTTGCCTAGTTGTTCCTGAAATATATTCTTAGCTTGACTATCATTAAGTAGGCCCCTAAGAGGTTTCCTTGCAGGATCTTTCCTACGTCCAGTAAGACGCAAGCAAATACGCGCTCGCACTAGACCATGATCTGAATCTAGGCATGTGCTCCAGAATGAGAGACAGTCTTCTATCGAGCCCCTCCATCGGTGGCTGATAGCGATGTGATCTATTTGGGTCCAACGTTGGGACGAATTAGGGGGTCGCCATGTTAAAAGATGTTTTTCCTTATGCTTAAAGTTAGTATTTGCAAGGAACAGGCGGTTATCTGAGCATAGCTGCAACAGACGGTTGCCATTATCTGTTCTTTGAGCCACGACACCATAGGATCCACCTAGGTGTCTTTCCTTATCGCTTAGTTTACCTACTTGAGCATTAAAGTCACCGGCCACTATTACTACATCCGAGCGCTTAGCTTTTCGGACAAGGTCCGAAAGCTTTCTGTAAAACTCATCTTTTACATCATCTGAGCTGCAGTCAGTGGGAGAATAGGCTGAGACGACGAAGAGGCAACGACGAGTGTCCCTATCTTTCCGGATTCTTACTGTTCCGTTCAGTCGGACAGCGCACAAACGACTGTCTACTGGGATCCACTCTAAGAGAGCTAGTTCTGCCCTAGGACTCAATGCTATACCTACGCCGGCGAGGCCACGGGAAGCAGAATCAGGGCTTCCAGATACACGACGCGTAAATCGAGTCGGTTCTTTATTTTGGCATGGTGAGGTCAAATGAATGACGCTACTTGGATCCTGTATGCGCGTTTCGGAGACGCAGCACACATCGATGGCGCGAGATTCTAAAGTTTTAGCTAAGGAAGCCTGCTGTCCTATTTGGCAAAGTGTCCGTACGTTAAAAGCTCCTACGTATAGTTTAGAGCGTGGTTTCAGGAGACCAGGAATGGCGTTCCACGTACTCGAATCGTTTGCCCTAGCGGTGCGAGGTGATAAAGAGACGTGAGGAGGGTTAGTCGGGAGGATAAGAGAGGTATTAGGAGGTGTAGGAAGGATTTGAATGTGACCACCTTGGTCTCTTGTGCTGTTACGGGTATGAGGGCTGATGTCACTTCCCGGCTGCCCACACCGTGGAAGGGTATTTCTTGATGAACCTGAAAAGGAAATTGGATTAGTGTTGGTCTTGACGACCTGGGAGCGTGACCGCAGAGCCCAAGGGACAACTGCTTGAGGCCGGTCGCGCACGGCCTTTTTGTGGAAGGTTTTTGACGTGTTAGCTCCGTTCTTCAAGGGGCCTTACCGCCGGAGACGAAAATCCGTGAGGTAAGGTGAGGTGTGCATTTTTAGGGTCGACCTTTTCTAACCCCACCCCTCCTTGTGGGAAGGCAGCATCGCTGTCATGCTGGTTGTCCGAGGGAAACACCTTACTGCTGTCACACCTCTCTACAGTCAGCAGTACGACTTCGCCCTCAGACCTTGAGTTGCTGCTTTTAGTCTTACCGTTCGCCAATCGACCTGCCTGGCATGGTAGAACCTGCAGGAACATATGTTCCAGCCAATATAGCTCGGTTGGGTCATCAGGATAGGCAAGCCCGACCACCGCGTCAAGGTAGCAGCTTCGATCGGGAGATGCTATATACGCGTGGCCATATGAGTGTTTCGAGAGGAAGAGCGGGCTCTCCCCACTCTCGGCCGTACCAGGGTATTTGGGGGCTTGTGCGCATTACAGAACAGCCAGCTGACGAGTCCCAAATAGGACGAAACGCACGTCAAACTGGATTCCACTACTAACCACCATTCATTCAAGCTTATAATACTTGTGACCTAAGGTAATATCGAGTCAATACGCACAGAATGCAAATATGCCAATAAGAGACTAATCAATTGCAATCCTAAACATCAATCAAAAGATTCAAGCAAACAATACCAAGTGAATTTAAATGTTATATATTTTTGTGTGTAGTTATGCTGGATGTTCAAAAAAGTCTTATTGCAGAGACTATCATAACAACCTGGTATGAGAAATTCGAATGAACAAAAGTTCTTTTTCGAAGAAAAACACCACGTGGACCATATACATTTGATCACACAAAAACCACATGCTGTTTGCAGTATAGACTGATTATGATTATAGCATTCATATGAAACAAACAATTCTAGTGTCAGTTGATCAGTTCGCCAATCACTAACAATTCTTACCAGAGGTTCTTTGTATACTAAATCAATGATTCGAAATTATCAAGTCAAACCTTGGTAATGATACCTACAAGTTTACATGTGATTATAATCCTGCATTTTTGTATATTACAAGTCATTAGTCAAATATAAGTTTATCAATGTACTATTATTTTAAGCAGTGTGTAAAGGGGATTTGAAATAATTGCATAAATCAAATTACCTAAGTGGAAGGTGCTACAACTTAGTATGATTGAAAAGTGAATGCTTTAAACACTAAGTAAATAATTTATTTCGTTCATGAATCTTATGGCCAGTTAAAAAATGTGATCTTATATATAAGGTGATATGAGTTAGTCCGTAAAATATGCGTGCTAGTTGGTACTTGTCAACAATATGTACCAACAATCTTGAGGAGACTAATGTTGTATATAGGATTCGAACCCGGTTCAACCAGTTTCATGAACCTGTCACTAATGACCAATTCTCAATGCTGTTGATCTCCTATAAAACTGAGATAGTTATATTAATAGACGACCGAGTGGTAGTGACAAACGTTATGCTTATCTAGTTTACTTATAATTTTAAATCCAAATGTTTGATACGAAATGGTTGTAGATAACTGACAGGAAGCACTGAACATAAATGTCAAGTTAACTGGTAGTTGTCAGTTAGCGAGATGCATTTACAATTATGAGAGTACTAACGATGTTCACGAAATTTGAACTCATGTTATAATCAAAGATGTTACCGTAGAGCTACCCTGTTCATAATTAATATCCTATAAAATTGTAATATCTATACTAATAATCAGTGTAATACGCATAAATGCAACTCCACTTGAAGCTGCTTTGCGGTTACGGTTTGTCCCAAGCCTACAGAGATGAGGAAGGTTGGGCATAGGGTTAACAATCTCAGCCCAAACAAAAAAATCTAGCTAAAAAACTAGCTGGAAAAAATCACTATAACCATTTAAAATTTCAATTGGGAAATGAAGAGTCTTCACTTAAAAGAGTTTTATGACGCCTCACGGTGAAAGCTAAGAAGTCACGAGGCCGATGATGCCCCTTTCTGACAATCAGGGTAACAATTAATATAAGTTCATGGAATATCCGCACAATATGGGAGACCAGGAGAACCAATAGAGTAGCTGAGGAAATGAAGAGAGATAACTTGGCGGTTCTTCGAATAAGTGAAGCCCATTGGACACAAGATGGACGGAAAAGAATAGTTTCGAGAGATCCTACACTGATCATAAGGAAGAAAATTATTTGCACACACAAGGAGTAGCAGTGATGCTGCTGTCAAAAGAAGCACTTAAAACACTTATAGCATTGGAATCTCATGGATCCAGAATCATCAAAGCATCCTTAGAAACAAAGAAAGGGATATTAATGAATTTTATCCAGTGATATGCGTCCACCAATGATAGCAGTGGAGACGATAAAGACCAGTTTTAGGACGGGTTGCGGCCGAGGGTAAAGAAAAACTCAGGAAAGAACCTGACCATGCTGATGGGAAATTTAAATTTAAATGTCATCATAGATAACACCGAGTATGAAGACATCATGGGACGACATGGAATGGGACAAAGGAACGAGTGTTGAGAGACTGGGAAATCTAAACGCCTTCAACAATATGGTTAAAGCTGACATCGTTTTGACTCACAAACGCATACACAAAAGTACATGAATTTCACTGGAGTATATTACACAGAGTAAGATCAATCATACCTGCATCAATAAAAAAATACAGAAAGTTCATGGAAGATGAACAAACAAAGACAAACGTTGATACATCCTCATCATTACCCTAGGTGGAAGTGACGCTAAAGAAGAACTGGAGCATTGGACAAGCAACACTACAAAGTCACAATTGATTGATCACTGGGTGGTGACCAATGTCATGTGTGTCAAGTTCTTATTATTTGTACAGTTCGAATGCTATCGACCATGATGTAGTGTGGTCACCAGTCTACGTGACTCGACACTGCTGGCACTATTATGAGATTAGATGGTGGCTGGAGGTAGTCGACAGGAAACCCTAGACCCGGGTTCCGTGCTACCTGTCACTCGTCAGCAGGGTGTACCTGTAATCTTGATGGAACTGGTGCTCCCTGACGGACTCGATCCCATGTCACCCAGCTTCACAGCCAGAGACTTTACCACTGAGCTATCCGGGCCGCGTGTATCTGAAAACATCGTCAACATCATACGAAATTCATACGACGGAATACAGTGCATGGGAGACAGCTCACAAATGCATTCCAAGTGAAGACCGGTGTGTGACAAGACTGCCTAATCTTCCCCTTTCACTTTCTTCTGGTGGTCGACTAGGTTATGAAGACCTTGACACCTAACGGAAAGCTTGGATGCAACTAGACGATTTGGACTAAAGTCTTTTATCCTATACACACCAACAAATGCAGGTAAGGAGAACCAGTATAACAGCAGCCTCTGTAGCAGTAGGCCTCAACATACACAAGGGAAAAAGCACGATCATCAAATACAACATAGAGAACACAAGCACAATCACACTTGATGGGGAAATTCTGAAATAGGTGGACACTTTCATGTACCTGGACAGTACTATCGATAAAGAAGGAGGATCTGATGCAAACGTAAAGAGGAGGATTTCCAAAGCAAGGGCAACATTCCTACAGCTGGAAAATATATGAGACTCAAAACTGTCTATATCAAAGCCAGAATCTTTAATACGAACGTCAAGATAGTTCTACTGTACGAAGATGAAACGTGGAGAATACTACGACCATCATCAAAAACGAACAAGTATTTATAAACAATTTTCTACTCAAAATACTTAATATTTGTTGGTCGGATACCATTAGCAACAACTCACTATGGCAAAGAACAAGCCAGCTCCCATCTGAAGAGAAAATTAGGAAAAGACGTTGGAGGTGGATAGGACACGCGTTGCGGAAATCATTAAGCTGCATCACGAGGCAAGTCCTAGCTTGGAATCCTGAACTGAAAAGGAAAAAGGAAGAGCAAGGAACACATTGTGTCGGATATCGGTAGCAGGCATCAGAAGAATGAACAGCACTTGGGAACAACTCTAAAAGAAAGACCAGAACAGAGTCAGTTGGAGATACCTGATCGACAGGGCATGAACTACAAGGGGTAACGGGCATTATTAAGTAAGTAATACATAACCACTATGTATATAAACCTATTTCATACAGAATAATATTAATTACTTATCGGAACGAAATGAAATAAAACAGGAATAATTAAATATGGCAAGTTTCAAGTTGCCGAATACAAAATTTTACTTTTCGTCGACTTGAAAATCGTATTTTCATGTACACACTTGCTTTTTACCCCATTTCGATAACTTAATTGTTTATGAAGTTGTTTTGTTCTCTGTTGTTCAGTATCTACCATTATTTATACATTTTATCTTTTCTTAAGAATAGTCTTTCTGTTGCACACAGAAATTGTGTTGTTACTACAGGCCTCGTTACTTTCTCAATTATCATGATGGACTAGAACTAACTGTATAGTTAACGACTACTCTATAACCCAATGAGTGCAGAATTCATCATAATAACACATTAAACAAACACGCGCAAATCAGAGTGTGAAGTAACTTGTCTACCAAGTAAAGAAGTTACTTAGAGCCACACTGTATGAATGAGGAGGTAGTGATACCACTACTAGTGCTATTATTTATCCAGACCGATGTGTTTTAGTGGTGGTTCAACCCCGCTAACCATATGGTTAAAAGTTGAATGAGTGAACTTTACTAATCGACCATTTGAGAATATATATATATACTTTCCTTACCTAGCTATTAATATAATTCCACTGGAATCTTTGTCTAATCGATGAACAGTTGACAGTTCACCAATGCATTTTTCTTCACCTTTCCCATGATTGCCATGATGACTTCGTTTTCTTATCATTGATTCAATACGCGGTAATAAATCAACAATATTATGTTTACAATCAGCTCCAGCTAAAAAATATACAAATAAGTAATGTTTTGAGATGGCATAATGGATATATATATATATATGTATATATATATATATATATATATATATATATATGCCTTTGACGCATTATTCATGTATTTTGGGACTACCAAGTAAATAATGCTGAAATCAGACGCAGAGAACTACGTAGAGATGGTTGATGAGGTTGTAAATGTTTATCCATTGAGGTAGTCAAGATATATGCTAGGTATATCGAATTACCATCTACCTTGCCTTAACATGTAATTCTCGCTTGCGAGGGAGTATGTTGAAAAAGAGTGTGTAAGCTGTGTGTAACTAGTTTTAGGTAGCTGTTTCTCGGATTCTGTAGTCAACCTTCCAGATCGCCAGGGCAACTACTGCCTTAAGAAGAATAATGGTGCAGGCAATTAGGAAGTAGCAGCCACTTACACACTTCTATCAATACTCAAGAGTTACTGAGTTTAACAGTGGGAAAACTCCATCGCATAGTAAAATATATGTAAAATATGAGACAAATAATTAATATGTATCATCTGAGAAGAAACACCTATGATATTTGTATGAACAGAAAAATGGACTCACGTTGAGATGCTATTCCATATGGTTTATTCAAAGTGATCACATTTTCTATTTCCGATTTTATAGGAGATAAAAGAATAAAAAGTAATGTTTGAAATGGAAAATGATTATTTTTAAACTATAAAAAAATTTGCATAGACAGAAGATCACTTCATATCTGAATAGTTCGACGGTAACATCTCAAATTGTAATGCTGAGTGACGTAGATTCCACTCCTATAGGAACATCAGTTCCCTAACGATTCTAGGTACACATTGCTAATGAGCGCTAACTGACACATAACCTAGGTCATGTAAGGTTTCTGACAGGCAACCGCCAACCATATGACGTAGACAATGTCATATGCTGACTTCGAGCTCCAGTGAAACAGCTGTATCTAGTCATAGTCAATCAACTAGGTAGTGAGATAGAGAGGCTAATTAATGACATTGGTTGAATATTATTATTAACATTATTATTATTGTTGGTACTATTATCATGACGCACTAGCTGACTAAGGTTTGAAAATCAGAATACACACACTGAATTATGGTAATAATTTAAACGTTTCTGTTTTCAACGAGAGTTGAAGTACCTTAAGTTCCTACCTACTATACTGCACATTATCGGTAAGAAAAATACCTCTTTTTGAAAAACAGAATTGGAATGTAATGGCCCATATTTAGAATTTCGGTCAATTGGTTATAAATAAACACATTGACCATCAAGGACAAGAATTGTTTCGGATTCGACGTTATGTTCTCACTTGTATGTCATCCCACTGGGATTGAACCTTATTCAACTCGTCCCGAATCAGAAAAAAGACGGGACGGGAACAAGAAATATCTCAAATAAGCGGAAAGCCTAAAGAAAACAGAAGGGCTTATATATAATCAACAGAAGTCTCTGATATATTATCGACCTATCCACTAGCGCTGATTAACTGAGATGCACCAATCAGGATATTTCGATTTAAAGTTGCACTAAATATGCAACCAATGAAATTCTACCTTGTTAACAATCAACTTGACTGAACTTCATACCCAAATGCCCTGTTACGGCCCTGTTACATTCTCATATGGCCACGCGTATATAGCCTCTGCCAGGGAAGTCCTACTTATTGCCTCCTAGTGGCTGGGGTGTTGTTTACGAAATTGAGAGGACGAAAAGTGAATATCCGGCGCTTTAACTGGGTCGGTGGACATGGAGAGTCCACCTAGGGAAGTTGGAAAACCCTGATTCCAAACCAATAGTGCACATGAGCTCCAGTATCCTGAAGGAATAAATGGCGTATGAACCAATCGTTGGTCACCGGCTATCATGTGACTGCATCTCCTCACGATGCTCCACTGCCTTGTGGAACAGACCTTTAGGTCGAAGGCTCTGGTGTGTGGCCCTCTAAGCAAACCACCTGCCTCGGTTTGGGCAACCGTGCAGTATCATAGCCCACATATAAGTAAAGTGACTTTTGTGACGCATTGGTATCTGGTGCCCCTTTGTACTAATATTTTTGTGTTCAAATAAATAAATAACGGCTTCCTATTATACTTTCTGTAATCCATCCTTAAAGTTGCTCAGTCCGTCATTACTCATAAGTAACTTTAGAAATAGAGAAACTAAACAGTGAAATTAGTTGTAAATTGAGATTTTTCGACAAACCTCTTATTTCTATAATTGATTTATACAATACCGTTGCAGCTTCTTCTTCAGTTAATAAATCAAATTTATATGGATCTTCATCCGGGACACGATATCCTTGACTATCCAATTTTTCTGGGACCGACGCCGTCGATTTATTTGATGGTATATCTAAGGCTAAAAAGTGACCCGAAAATTGAGTGTATTTATCTTTAAAACAGTATAATCATGGTTAATATACATATATATTTGAATTGTGATCTGAGTAGGATCTAGCACGCATGTCCCATCCTAAATAAGACTCATCAGATGATTATATGTACCACGTCTTAGTGTTGATGTCCACACTGACACTTGAACCCAGCACCTAACGCTCTAAATACTAATACCTTATAATAAAGACTGATTAGAATTCAAACAAAGATATTGACAGCGAAATGACTCAAGTCCTTACTAAAAAAGACACGTGTCATACCCGTTGAACAAATTAGCGGTTATTTGGACATTGAGTTCCAATATGGACATCAATACTGGGGTGGAGATAGATTCAGATGAAGAGTCCCAAGTAGGACGAGACGTGTATCCTAGATTCTACTGCTACCCACAACCCGTTTATCAAAATTACCTAGTTTTCCTCTATTACTAGTAAATTGTAGTACTGATGAATAAGGAGGTCCTTGAATAAATCCTAACCTACATTACCACCCTGACCTCTGTTAAATTCTGATTGGATGTTCTCGCTTTTGGTCTTAGATTTTACGTCTCCAGGGTCATTGCTATTACCACATAAACAGGATTATCTGTTGGGAATATAAAAGTTTAGAAGAATCGAGAAAGAATGAATGCATCTGAGCACCTAGTGAAACCAATTTTGAGCTATTTAAATATAAAAGTATGCATCCATGTACGAGCAAAACTGTATCCATCATTACATAACACATGATAATAAACTCAATAAAAAACTTACTAGTACCAGTGTATAGATTTAACTTGGTTCTTTGTCGGATAATTCTAACTGCATCTGATCCATATTCAACATCATCATCGTAACGACTATCATTATCATTTTTGTTAAGTCTCAATGAATCATTATTATTTCGGCGTACATTATTATCAACCCGAACAGTCTTGGTCCCAGGGACCAATTTTTCCTGTTTTCTTAGATTTGCATTACTTTTCAAAGTAATATCAGTATGTGTATTAGTATTAGTAATAATAGTAGCAGGATGAGGAATATGCTTTTTACCAGTCCTAATTTTAGGCTGTGAAATTATCAATGGATTAGTAGTATTGTTAACTACTGAGTTGACATTTTCTATTGGATTTGTATTAGATCCTATGGAGCCTATGTACATTAATAAGTGAAGAAAAAAAGGATTTAATTAAAAGACTAGCTAAATCCCTTCTGTCCTATGGATATATATATATATATATATATATATATATATATATATATATTAGTGCAAGAACATAAAAACCCTGGAATGATTAACTCACCAAAAAAATAATGCCATACTCAAAACAATCTCTTTGATAAGCTTATCAGTCATTCATTCAATCACAACGTAAAACTTGGTACGTATGTACATGGGCTCAAGTTGCCATACCCCATTAGCACAGAAAGATGAAACTCTCAGGCTAAATCCCAGAATAATAGAGGTAGTAATAGCATCACCAGTAAGTAATGAGATGATAAACTTATGTCATACAAGGGTAAGATGTTCATGATGTGTGACTTATTAGAGCAACACATTTATGATAATCTGACATATTTGCTTGTAAGAACATTTATATCTGAAAAATGAAAGGTCAAACTAGACAAATCTGAAGAGCAAATAAAGATAATTAGTAGAACGTGGACATTGCTCTGGATAATAAATCAGCATTACCAGGGTAGGTTCTAAATGAGAACAAACTGTTTTTGACCACCTAAGTTTGATACTTTGTATGATGAAGGCTTCAACACACCTTAAAAATCGCACATCTTAGTGGTTGAAACCCCTCTTCATAGCAAAGACAATTAATATGCAATGTGTTTGAAAACAGAAACCGAGAATAACTAGCCAGTTTGGGAATGAATACTTGTAGGAGTTCTAATCAACACAGATAAGTTAGCATGACCCGTGTTAAAGTTTTGAAGATGTCAAGAGATATTGAGATTCCAGATTCTAGATTTATGTAACTCCAAAATACTGTTTTCTCTAAAGGCAGTTACAATTTTACACATATTTTTACAATATGCACTTGTATATGCTACCAGCACCTTTATGTTATATTTACTTTATTAAATGATTATTCCGTGTTAATTTGCTTGAGGTTTAGTTTTCATTTTATTATTTCATTCTATTTGTGTGTGGGCTGTGATACTGCCTGAGTGCTCAAACGGAAGCAGGTAGTTTTCTCAGTGGGCCATACCCGAAGCCTTCGACCTAGAGGTCTAATCCACAAGACAGTGGAGCAACGTTAGAAGATGCAGTCACATGGTATCCGGTGCCCAATAAAAGGTCCATATACCATATGTTCTCTCAAAATCCTGGGGCCCAATGTGCACCATTGGTTTGGAATCAGAGTCCGCCAATCCCCTAGATGGATCCTCCGTGTCCACCACCCCGGTTAAAACGCTAAACAGTCACTTCTCATCCTCTCAATTTCGTAAACGACAGTAATGCCGAGAGAAGGCAATGAGTGGAGCTTGTCTAACAGTGACTGCATATGCGTTGCCATATGCGAGCGTTTTCATAGGAAGATCTGACTCTCCCCACCCTCGACCATATCACGGCATTTGAGAGCTCCATTAGTAGGTAACATTCCCACACTTGATATGGTTGAACTCTACTGGTCACTGCTTGTGACAAGAACTTGGAGAATTATTTCTTGGAATCGGTAACTGCTGAGCACATAATTATTAGACAATAACTGTGTAACTAAAATCAGTCCATAAACCCCTTTAGTAATAATAATAACGTTATAAAATCCAAACATATATCACTATGAAAACAAAATGATAATAATAATAAAAAGAAAGTTCATTACCAAAATATTGTGAGTCGATCTCACATAAACCATCTAAATGAGATGTCTTTGAATGAAGTACTGTTATTTCAGATGAATTCTTCTTAGATTTAACACTCTCTCTAGCATGTAACTTGACATCATCATCATGTACACCAAAATATTGTTCATCAATAATATCTTTAAAAAAATAATATGAAATAAGATATATGTACAAATACACGTACACACACTACTTTTTGATGTTGATAATGATGCTTTACGTTTATTTTCTTCACGTTTAATCACTTCGACTTTCTGATCATATTCAATACCGAAATAATCCTAGGAAGAATTAGAATTGTATTAGATAAATATCTACTTTAATGTAATAATAATAATTACTTATTTATTTAAACACATAAACATTGGTACAAGGAGGTACCAAACAGATATACGCTACATAAATCATTCGATGTGTGAGGGCTGGAGAACTAGCCGGGTGCCCAAACTGAAACAGGTGGTTTTCTGAGGGGGCCACACCCCGGAGCTTTCGATCTAAAGGTCTGATCCACAAGGCAGTGGAGCATCGTAAGGAGATGGAGTCACATGGTAGCCAGTGACCAAGAATTTGTTCATACGTCATTTGTTCCTTCGGGATCCTGGAGCCCATGTGCACTAATGGTTTGTAATCAGGGTTTTCCAACTTCCCTAGGTGGATCCTCAATATCTACCAACCCGGTTAAAGTGCCGGACATTCGCTTTTCGTCCTCCCAATTTCGTAAACAGCACCCCCACCACGAGAAGGCAGTAAGTAGGACTTCCCTGGTAGTGGTTGTATGAACGTGGCAACGTGAGAGTATTTCAAGAGAGAAAGCGGAATCTTCCCACTCTCGGTTGTACTAGGGAATTCGGGGGTTATTAACAATAATATTATAATATCAATAATTACCAGTAAGAAGAAGAAGAAGCAACTAGTGAAACATTTACACATTTGAATTATTCAACACATCAGTAAATTTTCTTATAATGAATCGTTTAATGAAAATATACAAAATATACTTCAAGTTTTTATATAGATATATATTCTATAATGTCACAAAAGTAGAATTAAAGTACAATTGTTCTTAAAGATCAAAACAATTTAACAAGAAGAGTAATAGAGGTAAAAGAACTTTTTTGTGAAGATATTAGTTAAATATGCATTAGTACTGGATGATAGTCTGGTGCATCTGTGAATATTAATCCAACAAATACATGATTCTTCCACTTTGGATGACGTAATATTTTACAACAAACAGAATTGTCTAGATCAAATCCAAAATGTTTCATAGTTTCATCGGTTTCTGTGAGTACAGCTTCACCATGTGATCCAATATACTAAAATTATTATTGAAAAGTTTATTAGAATTTATTACGAAAAACAAACCGGTTTCCCAGTGAAGGGATCAATAAAATCTGCCCAATACCCCAATTCTTTTAAAGACGAGCATATTTCTATTGCTGAAGTAATAAACTGAATATTATTTTATGATTTAAAAATATTTTCAAACACTTACAGATCGTGCTAACTGTTCACGTTCATCAGCAGCTTCTTCACTCCATGCATCTAACGATTCATTGGTGTGATGACTAAGAATTAGTGCTGTTAAAGGTTTTGATGAAAGTTTTCTCGATGGGAACACATTAGCTAAAGCTAAAATTTATATTCAAGTATAAGAGAGTTTATAGAAAACAAAGTAGATACAACTAACTTTGCTGGACTAGCACTGGACAGGTGTGTATGGTACATTCAAGTTGATCCGATACCGGTGGAATTATTGAGGGCTGAGATTCACTGAACTAGTTGGTAAAAAATAAGTAAATTTAGATAAGTTAACAAAAAAAGAGATGTAAGTCTGAAGAACTGTAATCTTCATTAAAACATGAAAGCAGCTATGCAACAAAACAGCTATTTCTAAAATAATGTGATTAAGCAGCTTTTTAGTTAAACAAAGAGGCACAGATAGAAGCATACGTGTATCCTTCTAGTTTTCTAATTTATAGAGGATATAGTGGGATATCCAAAAAGTGGAAATAACAATAATAGCGGTAACAACAGTAACAAGAATGTTTTGAAAAAGACAAGTCAAAATTGATTAGAGTAATAAACCAAGAATAACATCGTGGCCACTACTTACAGTAAGTCAATGAACAGATATTAGTAATAACTAAAGTCTACAGCAGCATATGCCATCATTCATGCTTGATGATGAGTCGTTAGAAGTTGTCGAAACTCTATGTACCTGAGCAGTTGTGTGTGACGGTATTGGTGTGTCCAATGAAACCAATCAACATATAATGAAACCTCGAGCGGAATTCACTAATTTTAGAAATCTTTGAAGCCATTGTGATGTTAGTCTGGTTGTATAAGGTTGGGTCTACAACGCTTTGGTGACCAGTTCTCCTCTATGCTTGTGAAACCTGGTCTCTAATTTGAAGATGTTCGGTGACCGTGCTCGATCACCGTTGTCTCCGGAGGATTGCTGGTATCCAGTGACATCTAGTTTAGGCACAGTAAAGACAACTCACTTGGTATCGTCATCTTGAAATATCGGCTTCGGAGACTTGGAAATGTAGCACGAATGTCATCCCATAGACTTCCACATTTTGTATATTGATATTTAGAAATCTGATGCTTTGCAGTAAAATCTTAAAATGTAGATCTCGACATCGAACTAAATTTACTATCAAAAGAACCTGAGAAGCTTTGCTTACTCGTCGACATTAGACACACTATATCCCAAGGTTGTCACATTTTGGTGTCCAACAATATACTTTGAAGACATTTCGAAGGTTTTATAGCATTTGGATGACAGTTTACTTTGTTGGCTACTCCATCTTTTACTGGCAATGAGTTAGTTGATCATGTTATTGATATGGCACCAATCAAATTGAAAGATGTAAATAGCCGACATGAACGATTCAAAAAGAAATACTAACTGAATTTTGTTCGCCGTTGACATAGAATAAGTTTCATAATCTGAAATTTCGCATGCGAAATATTAGCTTTTTGGTTTAGCCTACACTTATGAACAAGCGGCGGTTTTGTGAATGAGCTTGAACCACAGACCTCGTTTCAGATGCAAATCTCTAATTAGTATTACTCATCACAATAAGCAGAACGATTCCTTATTGTGGCTCGCAATTGCACTCATCTCATCGATAAGCTGGTGCTACTAACATGCATCGTCGGATGATAGTTTCATTATTCAATGACGTATGTCAGTATCTTGATTAGAAATATATTGGCATTTCATGTCGTGAAACCGGACATTCAGTGGTAACTAATAACAGATGGGGTACCGTATGCAACTGCTATACTCGCTTTAGCCCCCCCCCAGCTACTTCAAAAGGCGGATCATGTTAAGATTTACAAGACCAGACCAAAGAAGTTTGAGTGTACATTCAACCTACTCCGGTTACATATCAATTATGGTTATTAACTAGTTTTATGAACCAAGTAAGTCACTGAATACAAAATCAATATGAAGCAAACAATCATAGGAAAATGCATTTAGAATCAAATGACTAAATACATGTGACAAATGGTGAAAGTTAATGAAGGGGAACCACGAAAGTGCTATGCCTAAAGTAAAATCACTTTAAATCGATATAATGAACATATTATTTTTCTTTCTCGCATGTTCCACTTAGAGATACAGTATTTTCAAAAGTATCCAGCTTGCCCGACTTAGTATGTTTTTATGCGCCCCATTAATAAGTGTTTGGGCCCCTTAAGTGCAAACCGAAATTTATCAATCTTACAAACAGGGGTCATATCAAACTTGGGAAATCTTCTTGAAGGGTTAAGTTTAAATCAATTAAACTTCTCTCAAGCGGAACTTAGAAACAGAAAAACATGACAGACATGGGAATGTTAACGAAAGAAAGAGAAACAAGTTAAATTATACCTTTCCTAACTACTTATCGTCTGAAGCATTTATTTAATGCTCACAATTTTATGCTGACGTTTTTCTATTCACGCAAGAAACAAATACACTACTTTACAGTGGAATAATACATAGTAAGTTATATATGGCCGTACTGAAAACTCTTGTGGCTTTTACATAAAACAACGCAATAGTCAATCTAAGATAGCATTCCCTTTGGTATCATCCTGAACTGCGACAAGACTAGAATTGCACCTGGGTAGACTACACCATATGAGCTAGCGTATTATGTTACCTAACTTCTGATGTTATATTTCCTTTAGATATTTGTATAAGAACTTTGTTAATCCGGAAGTTTTCAAGTCACCGGCTATTTTATTGATCAGTCGATCATAGATACCGTAAAGCCTAACACAAATGCGTATCGATCCAAGCTGCCACATTTTACACTAGAACTACGACATACAAACGATCTTAAACTTTGGTGAATCGAAGTAACAGTAATACCAAAGATACCTAAAGAATTAAACAGATTCATGAGTCTGGAAAGAATGAATGAGCTGAGGAATAAAATACTTCGGATATTTGTCTTCAAGATAGGAAATGGACAAATGTTTACGAATATGTCTGATTCTAAACCATATAACTTAATTTTATATCCACCTAGTCTCTCTACTTTAGGGTTTCCCCCACAGCCGTAAGAAATTTGGTAGTTTTGGAAAAAAAACCGGTGTCATAGGATCCTATGGAAATATTGAAGAAAACCCAAAATCTCCCCGAATATTTTGGGTATTCCCCTGAAACTTTGGGGATTTTCCCCAGAGCTGTGAAGATTTCGGGGTTCTTTGCCATTTCCGTAAAGTTCTTTATTGTGACTTCCCAAAAATTTACCCTAAATGGAGAAAATTTCCCCCAAAGTAGGGAGATTAGGCATATGGTTTAACTCATCATAGCGTTCATCACGTATACGCTTATGTCTGATATCCGTACATACAGGATCATTCAGTAATTCTTGATTATCTGTCCCGACATCTAAAAGGATTGGTAAACAATGCTTCGGATGAACACCAGCCAGTGCTGTGCATAACGGCAGTTTCCCAATGGGTTTTCCCATACCATATGCTCCCAAATCACCCAAACCAAGAATACGTTCACCATCAGTAAATACGATAGCCTTTACGGTCGGTTCAGGCCAGTTATTTAGAATCGCGGGTATATGATTTCGATCGTGTGCTGTTATGTATAGACCTCGAGGTCGTCGAAATACTGCACCATAGCGTTGACAAGCTAAACCAACAGTTGGTGTATATATCAACAGCATACAATATTCCACATGCTCAATAACAAGCTTATAAAATAAAGCCTCGTCTCGGTCTTGTAATGAAGTAAGATAAACGTAGCGCTGCAAATTATCGTTCATATTCTTTAGATCGGCCATCATTTTGAGACCTGTTGGTCCAGAGTTAATACAGAAGGTGGGAGTAGCCCGTGTATACCGAGTAATTGTCGCTCATTAAGAGTGAATGCAGTTCCTCGATTTGTTCTCGGATCCCGGACCACATCGATACCGTGAAGCTGAATAAAATTCGAATCTTGTCTACGTACCGAATAGTTTGCATGCTTATAAACGATTTGGTTCTGTTGAAAGGAGAAAAGCTACAAAAGCTTCCTCATGGTGAAATACTTCATATAACGCCTAGAATCACTAACATCTACTAACACGCCCGAGATACACACCCGCAAAGAATTTAAAAATCACACCCCCCTCAAAAACTTGAGAATACATGCTTCACTAACCTACCCCTCCCCATTCACCCAAAAATTTATGAGCGGCAACCAATGACATGCTCACCTCTTTTTCATTGTAAACATTCAAAAGAGCTGCAGCATAGTTCTCCTCTTTCATTGGAGGTAATGTATGCACCGCAGGTGTGTATTTCTTTTCCAAAGGTTTCTCATCCTTCACTAACGGAATCCCTACAAACCCAGGCAACGGATATTTTGGATTGACAGCTTCTATTGGTCCAAGTTTAGTATTCGGCCATTTTTTAGTAGAATTCGAGTTGGAAACAACGACTAAAAGTCGATGAAAATGAAACCCACATACCAACGTTGACCAACTTCCCATTCTCCACATCAGAATGTGAATTAAACGATGAGCGGAACTGCCTCAAAAAACTAACGAATCCTTTGAATTTACTACTAATCGGCCTTGACAATAGCATAGTGAGAGTCCACAGTAGCGTAACAACTAACCAACCGCGTCATCAAATAGTTCAAATGGTTGTGGATAGAATAAAGGGATACTGTATTTAAATGATTCCTAATCTAAAAGAACGGTATCACCGATGTCTTCTAGTAGAAAATATGTATTTTCACTAGTAAAAGAGAAATTATGGTGCGTTAGAACACCTAGGCGCGCAATTTGATAAAAGTAAGTAGAATTTTCTACGTGTTGAGACATAACATTTATCTTGCGTTTATCGTACCAGAAGTTAGATTACAATTCATGCATAACGCTCCAAGATCTATTTAGATCCACTTTTCAAAAACCATTTTATTTCAACTTTTACTGCCCGAGCTCCCAATTTTGGGAAAAATTTGACCCATTCTGGAAAAACTTTGGGGAAATGGCACTAAAACCCCAAAATTTCCCCGAACCTAAGGAAATTCCCCAGAGTTCCTCAAATTTCCCCCAAACATTGGTGAAGGTCATTTGACTTCGGGAGTTTCCCCAAAATACCTCAAAATTTCCTCAAACTTGGGAGCTCGGGTGGTTGAAGTTTTTCGGTCGGTGCGTATCTCTGTATACATATGTTGCAGTAAATAAATCCCCAAAATCGATAGCTCCGTAATTCTTCGACATTTGATGCTCACCACATTGATTTTCATGGACTCACCTGACTGAAGGCGCTCGGTCACGCACCCATATCAGATCGCGAGTGGGAACAATGTGCCCAACTTCGGCAAGTGCTAGCCAGTTTAGAACAGTCACTTCTCGACATATTGATAACCTACCGGGTATATCTTCGAACCTCTTCGCTTCTGACTCCAGATTTCATTAGGTGAGCACGTTTCAACTGTAGGTGTTACTGCTTAATGTGTTGTCAAACTCCGAATACATGTTGCATCTTCAGTGATGAGCTCGGTGTGATCTGGTTCACCACATCGTAAATTGTGTGTCTTTTCCATTTTGGAACTTTAAATATCATTGCTTTACCCTAATTTTTATATATTGTGATATTTTTTCGTATGTTCGGATATTTTTTCCCTCTTGTTCATTCCTACACTTTATATTCGTCACGATTGTACAGACTCCTAGGTTACTTAATATCAAGACTTTTACATCACCCTCATTCCAGATAATGTCATTCTGGCCCGGCAACATCGAAGTCTGATTCCGCTACGCAGGAGCTAACTTCTACGAGCACGTCGTGAACGATTCACGTGCACGATTCCTCGCAATAGTGAAAGCACTACAACGCGATTTCAACGGGTACGTCGCACCTAGTATGTTTACAAGTGAACTTTTAAAAAAAGTCTGTTTTTTAACGCGGAGATCTAACCGAGCGATAAATGTTAGAACACGTCCTCAATAACATCGATCAAAAATGTTGTCGATGCGGTCAACCAATGTTTCTCTCCCCTGTTAAACATTGCGTGCAGTGTGATAGGTACAAGGGATGATATCACAAATTATGTTACTATCTATCGTCGGACGTGTGCAAACGTCGCTACAAATCTAAAATCAGAAGAATACTGCCAATGAGGTTTTATGAGTTCACGATGCTAACGTAATAACACTTGACCAGTCGGTTGGAGGCGGCAAGCAACAAAAAGGACCTTGAAGTTAGCACTCGAAGATTATGACAAAGGGAACGTTGTACCAAATGACAAATAAAACTTGTAATTTTAAGATTTGTATCCGACTAGATTGGTCACTTGAGGATTAAATCGGGTAACAAAAACTCGAAACCAGAATGGCAAAACAAACCTAAAAAGACAGGACTTTGGGGTAGCCAGGTCTTGGAAGCCTATATTTCCGAGACCTGTATGGCTAGAACAAGTGATTTTCAAAACACCTCGAATGTGTACTAATCAAACACTCATAGTCTTAGAAATAAGACGTTCTAGTTAAACTCAATCGTCGACGTCAAGGTGATTGTCAACATCATCAGTTACTCTGTCATCAAACTAAAGGGACAACAACATGATAACAACAACAGTACTATTAGTAAAAATAATAATTTTAGTTAAAGTATTGGTAGTAAGAGTAATAACTGTTGTCATAGGAATAACAATACTATTCATAAAAATGGTGATATTGAATTGTGATATAGGTCAAATGCCCCACTATCCTTACCACCGAAGAATGAAATAATGTTCATACTTCGATAATCAATGTTTTTGTGATCAGCTAGTGCAAACCATTAGATTATGATGCTATTATTTCCTAATCTTCATGAACAGTTTTAGGAATCATGATTCGGGAGAGAATTAAAAGTAACAGTAAGACCAATTCCTTATTTATAAGGATAGTAGGTCGGTCGGACTGTTTTTAATAAAGCTCTCATTTTCCGCCGAACGTTCTCATAATTGTGGTTGATATTTCTGCGGGGATTTCAGAGCCCACAGACTCTTGGTGAAAAAAGTGAAATCCCACTTTGAATTTCTGTGGTCGTGATTTTTGAACTTGTATGTGTTGGCTTAGAAGACTATTGCTCCCAGTGTCTAAAATGATAAGTTGCATTAACTCCTGGATAGTCCTTCAAGAAATGGAATGCCACTATCAGGCCATACCATATTCGATGAAAAGAAAATCTAAGAATATTTAGGCGTTTTGATCGCCCTCAGTTGGGAAGATCAGAATACCTTGTCACTACCTTATTGCCTAAATGCTGAATAAGTCGCTGCTATATTGGAGCTAAGGATATTATGGTTACCCAGTCACAATTGAACTGAACACGAATAAGAAAATTTCTTAACCAGAACATATAAATCACCTAAACGATTCAAAGTGGGACTGGATATAATATCAGCAGTATCAGTATGGATCGATTATTTTTAGAACAACGTTTGTGATTTCTATCGAAGGATTGAGGGCTTCTCGTGTTAGACAGAAATGGTGTAACCAACACCTAACGTCGAAGTAACACCCCGCAGTCAGCACCTAACGTGGATTACCCTGTAGAATTATGGTCTACCTTTATATTAGTACAGCTCTAATAATAGACCTAATCCCAAAATTGTAGATTAGTCATGATATAACTGCCTAATCTATAAGATCTTACGTGGAAGTCACACCATCGACTACACCAACTCACTGTATCGTATCAATTACCAATACATGATGTAGAACAAGGTTAAGCTAGAGAAAGAACAATATATTTAATATGAATAGATCATATAAGGTAACATTCGGCAGAGACCATGCCTGCATGGCCGAGCCATGCCACTCGATCAACTCTAGTCCATTCAATTCATTCTTTGCGCCTTCTCCATCGTTAGGTATTTATCCGCGTTAAATATTGAATATCTATTTTCTGAGTAGTCTCGTGTTCAGCTTTGTGGATTGTGCAGTTATTGTTCAATCCCACTACAACCCCTTCGTTGTATCAAGGTGCTATGTATGTTCTGGAGACGGTACAACACAAAGGACGTTGTTAGTTAAAGTAGACAAAAGCGAAGGCGTGACCACCACCACATGGCCCAGTTCATGGCGTATGATTAGTTGATGTGCGTTGGCTGTCCTTGACTTTGACAGGGGTCGATGATCTGTTCGATAATGAGTGACTCACATGCTGGACGGTTTGGTTGGGGCTTAGTGACATTTCACTGACCCTACATATTAACGACCGTAGTTTTGGAAAGGTGTGGCCTCAAAATCAACAAAATAACAGTGAACTTTGGTCAACTGTCCAATCAAATTAAACGTTCCTCTAACTTTCAAAACCGACAGTTGAACGTTGAGTGGTTAAGGAGAGTCGATTAGTCAACACTACGACTTGTTCCATATGTCAGCGGCCGTACCATATACCCTCTTTATTTCTACCTAGTTTAGACAATAATTCTAGTTATATTTTGTCTGTTTGTTAAAGGTACCTAGAACCGGACTACCCGAGCATCGAAATAGGCCAGAATGGTAGGGAAAGTTATTGGATGATATGAATTCGATATTGAGTGGTTCAGTCAACCGCACCATTCTAGTTAACAAGTATAAATGAAGGCTACGTGAAGGGTGTTAATGAGTTTCATAACATCAGTTAGGATTGATATGAAGAGATGAAAAGGCAGAATCAAACTTCTTTACCTATTGTGATTTTTGTTAAACATTACTTCAGTTTTCATTCAGTGTGACGACTACTCATAGTAGCATTTATTTTTGCTCTTAGTGTGATATTTTATTCAGTATAGCATTAATTTGTTTGTGTGGTGTGTTTGTTCAAGATACGATATTCTTGTAATAAATTAAGGCAACGAATGCTCAGCATGACATTCAGCATATGATTTGTTATAACCTCAAGCACTTTCTATATGAGATTTCATCCGAATTAATAATCGAAATGAGTGCAAAATCAATATATATATATATATATATATATATATATGAGTGTATTTTCGACCAGGTTGTCGTTGTCGAATACACTCATGTTTAACGAATTGCTGTTAGCTACATAATTATCACTTTTCACGTATTTAAACTTTTTTTGATGACCCTTCATATGTATTAGTAGTATTACTAAATTCTATCGAGGTCAAATAAAAATGAGGTCGATGAAATCTCTCCGTAACTAAATAAACCGTATCAAACTAACTGTAACACTAGTTGGAACTATTCTCCACGGTAATACTTTTGTTCTATCAGTTAGCCTACTAATGCAGATGCAATTGGAAATCAACACATATGGTTACCGACATAATCGTTATAATCGTTACAATTTAAACCAAAACTAATACCATTATTAACATTTCTACAATATTGATTGCTTTTAATATTTCTAAACACAAAATACTTAATGCGTATAAGTTATTACCCATAGCCTAATAATACGTATCTTACGGCGACTTATTAAAATATCCCTATACGGAATCATTTTCTTATTATTATCCCACTTTTTTTTAGCTCAAATAATCTTCACCCAACTTTTCATTTTAAGTGTGTTAAGTATTAAAAAAGACATTTTAAAATATTAAATGTACTTCTCAGTTTATCGATATCCAGAGGATTCTAATTATTCTTGATGACCTCCGGCGCACCACAATCCCACTCAATTTGGTATCAAAGCAACGTTACGTTGATTCTGGTGGGAGCGTAGTGTAGTGGCATTGGGCCTTAACCACACAATCCCCAAAGCTGGACACGAGACAACTCGGAAGATGGACACTCAATATTTAACGCGGAGACAAATCCAACGATGGAGAAGGCGGGAAGAATGAATGGAATTAGTTGATTGATCGGATGGCATGGCTCGGCCATGCAGGCGTAGTCATATTTATATAAAGTAATTGTTATCCATATTAAAGAAATTGTTCTACCTCCAGACTAAATGGGTTCTACATCATATATCGATGAGCCAGGGTAGACGATGATGTGACTTCCACTTAAGATCTTATAGATTAGACAGTTATATCATGACAAGTCTACAATTTTAGGATTAGGCTTATTATTAGAGCAGTATTAGTGTCGAAGTGGACCATAATTCTACAAGCTGTTATCATATTTTTCTTAATGGTTTGCCAATGAAGTATATATTTACTTAATTATCCTGCCTTTCTGAAGTTGATAGGTTATCAATCTAAGACACTGTACGTTTTCATATAGTTTAGGATAAATTACGAACAAATGCTATTAAAAAATTATAGGGGGGATAAGTGGCCTTGCATTAACATAGTAAAGTGTCATATGACATTATTTTACACCTACATCGGGCCTGGTGCATCTTTAGAAGCTGCAGGGTTCGAGTACACTGATAGTTTACCTTGTATCCAGTAGTCTTCTGGAAATCCATTTTACTCATAAATAGGGTGGCTTATTGTGTCTGTTTCACGTAATCCAACTGGCGGCCTGTGCAAATGACGGAAACCTTATGTAGAATCAATTTTTCCTCGCACGTTAGATTGATGATGGTGTATTTTGAATAACCTAGTGTGGTTTCCTGGTTTGCATTTGGACAAGTCGGTGAAGCATACACATTAGATTTTACGAGTGTAGCAAATTGGTGTTCGAGTCTTAGGTAGACTGCTTGTAACATAGAACTAGTAAAAACAGTGTATTCTAAAAATGTATGCAACATGAATCTTAGATCAACATACGCATGTACGAAGTTGAGACCTCGATAAACGTCGTCTATGAACCTGAAGATGACACAGGTATTCAGTGTTTGACAACGCTTTTACTAGCAACACCTTCTAATATAATTCGTACCCACCAAGAGAAATCAAAAGACAGAGTCGAGGAGATCGGAAGAGTGTATATGGCGATAACCAATATATCTGGATTCTCTGATCTAATCTGGCTAGCGATTGCGGTAGATGTTGAGAACAGCGTTACCACACGTGATCTGATGAGGATTCATGACCGAGCGTCTTCAGCTAGATGAGTCCACTAAAACACACGGTCAGCATCCAATGGTGAAAACTTACAGAGCTATTTATTTTGGGGATTCATTTACCGCTACGGACCTTTTTGAAAGTTTGGCAGCGTTTCTTAGACCGAAAGGAATTCGCAAAAGTTCGTAGAGTCCGAAGGGAGTTATGATAGCGCTTTTCGCAATATCGTCAGTAGCCATAGGGATTTGGTTATACGCTTTTACCAAGTCGATTTTCGAAAAGACAGTTGACCTTTCAAGGTAGCTGTCAAATCGTGAGTGTGAGGCAACGGGTAACGATCGGGAATGTTTTTTGCATTCAATCACCGATAGTCACCAGTTGGACGCCAATCGTTGCTGCTCTTTTTGGGGACCATGTGTAACGGAGATGCCCATGGGCTGTTTGACGGTCTTATGATGCCTAAGGTCTATCATGTGGTCGAATTCGTTTTTCACCAACCTTAGCTTTTCGAGGACTAGTCGGCGTGCTTTCGAGAATACAATAAGTCCTGTACTCGGGATGTGGCGTGTAACGTTGCTGGTTACACACGGAAATTTCGGTTGCGTTTGGTGTATCCCAGAATACTTATCGAAGTAGTGGGTGATAGAATGGGTCTATCATGTGCTTAATTGTGACTGGAGATAATCTGCAACAAGAAAAAGAAGTTACGCAAACGGATAAATCAGTGTTTCCGTCCACTAGTCTCCGTTTGCGCGTATCGATGATTAGATTATGGTGTTGTAGAAGGTTGTTAGCGGGACATAGACTGGATTAAAGCATGCTTAATGCACGACTGCTTTGCTGCACGCTGATTGGCTAATTCTTATCCAATCAGCACTAGTCGATAGTTTGAGAGTACTCTAGAATCTTCTCATGTAAAAACTGTAAATATACTAACGTTTTCTCTATTGTGCTTCTTACTTCCATCTAATCTTGTTATTTGGAATATAATCTCTTTCCTGTTCAACCGTGTTCTGACTTGGGGTCTTGTCGAGTGATTTGGTGTCCAAGAATACTAAGCCATAGGAATAGCTGGGGTCATGACCGTAAGAAAGAGATTATAACAAAGGTCTATACCAATAATTGGCATAGAAACATCTGCAACAAGGAAGATCCAGTGAATGGGTTTGCGTAAACTCACGTTCAGGTAAACGTACCTTATACCGTATTATTATTATTATTATTATTATAAGCTTCATTCAATATTATATTTTCGGTACAATATAGAATTCTCAGCACAAAGTATTTCAACAAGTTTCCGTTTCTTTCTTCTGGGTCGATCCTGACGATAAATATTGAGTGATAGCCAGTTAGATGTTAGCAGTCCAGTAAATAAACATCTGAATAATGTATATTCTTTTCTCTGCATATTGCCAGCGACCACATTATCTCTCATTGAGCTTTTAGTAACTTTGACAACGAAAGGTTGTAAACTTTTCAGAAATGCACAAGGATGGGTTATGCGATTAATATACATAATGATATATTAAAACAAACAAAAATAGATAACTTGTTGAAATATTTAGATGACAGGAACAGGTAGCCCAGATGCTCAAGCAGGCCGCCCAACATGTGGTGATAGGCTTTCCGTTTGCCGCCTGTAGATTTAAAACCGATTCATGAACTTGGTCGTTAGAATTTACAGGAAGAATGCACCTTAACTACCCAAATACAGAATCCAAGGGGCAAACAGTTCACAAATTCTGCCAAGCAAAGTTGGAGCGTTGGAACCATCATATTGAAAAAATGACAAATATCACGCAACAAAATAAAGGCAAAATAAAAACGCGAGTTGTCTGATTTTTCAAATACGAATCGATTGCTTATTAGAAATGACCAAATAATTGATGTCTAGCTGCCGTCATAAATAAATTAACATGCAACTGCCGCTTAATTCTACTAATAGCGCGTGTTTGAAGATGTGCATTTGTCACTGAGCAGCCCTTCAGTTTTCCCTCTCTTGGTGGATGGCAGAGATTGACTTTTTATCTGCTGAACTTGAAAATGATGATGAGTGTATAGACGATGAAGCAGAAAGATCCAATCTATCGTCTCCGGAGAAAAATAATACCAAGTCTTCAGATCAATCGGTAAGTCATATTTCCAATTCTTACATTTTATAACAGTCAAAGGAATGGATCTGTTCGGAGAAAAAAGAGTGAGTCTCTTTAAAACTTGTCATTCATGTTTCAGAGAGATAACGACTCAAGAAACTGTCGAGATTTGTCAGAAGACTGTCAATCCGAATAATCGTGTTAATGCTGAAAACTTCAAAATTCAACGTGTCATTGGCAAAGGAGGCTACGGAAAGGTTCGTGGAGCTTCTCTGCCTTAGTGTGCAGGTTTTTCTAGTTCAGAAGGTTGATGGCATTGATCAAGGAAAACTCTATGCCATGAAGGTTTTAAAGAAGGCCAGACTAGTGTGCAATGAAAAGGATAAGGCACACACTGTTTCTGAAAGGAATATCCTTGAAATGTTACAGGTACCAGTTTCATTTGTTTAATAGTCTTAGCACCCTTTCCTGGTGAAACTTCATTATGCTTTTCAAAATCACTCCAACTTGTACATTGTGCTAGAATATTGCCACGGAGGAGAACTGTTTAACTACTTGGAACGTGAAGGAGCTTTGTTAGAAAATGCTGCGTGGTAAGAAATACGTTCAGCTCTATATTGGAAATAGTTTTTACGCTTCTGAAATTGTTCTAGCTATTGGACATCTGCATTCGTTGGGTATAATCTACAGGGATTTAAAGTCTGAAAATGTGTTGTTGGACCGCCAGGGTCACGTAAAGCTTACTGACTTTGGACTTTCAAAAGAGGGTGTGTGCACTACCAATACATTCTGCGGAACGATTGAGTATATGTAAGTTCAAATCTTTCCTCATGGTTCAGGGCCCCTGAAATAATCCGATGTGAAGGTCATGGAAAAGCAGTAGATTGGTGGAGTCTTGGGACTTTAATCTACGATATGCTATCTGGCGCGGTAAGTTCTTTTACTTAATGTGACTAATAATGTAGCCACCATTTAGCCAGGAGGAAAGTCGTGAAGCTACCACACGCAAAGTAAGCATTAATTTAGATCGATTATTTGTTGTAGATACTCACAGCTCCTTTAAAATTTCCACCATCATTCTCATCAGAAGTTACCAGTCTCATACGTGGCTTGTTGAAACGTGACCCAAATGAAAGACTAGGAAGCAAAGAAGATATGGAGGAAATTAAACGGCACAAATTTTTCAAAAGACATGTGAGTCTTCTAAAATGTATAATAAATAATTTGTTTCTAAAATCTTTCAATTTGTAACTATTGAATTTTTCTGACCAGTTGTTTACAACTGAGACTGGAATTTACGCTGTGCGTTAGCTTGTGAAAGAACGTTCATCCACTTCAGTTACCTAACTAAATCTGCCACAAATTTCTATATCGGCTCAACCTTACATTTCTTTAGTTTTTTTTATTAATATGTATTAATATATGTAAAAGTCAAGTGTACGTATTTCATTTGTAAGGTGGGTTTTAGTCTATACTGATGCTTTCCATAGTTCATCTGCATTAAAGAAACCAGGTCATCTAGCATATATCAACCTAATTGTCATTGTTTTCAACTAAATATAAGACACTTTCTAATTTCTCAGTGATATAATTTAACAAATAACTAGTGCAAGTTTACATTGTATTTTTGTAGCCATAGTACGCATGTGTAACTGTAAGCAATACTACCCTACTGCCCGAATTGTAGTAAGTGAAATTGAATTCGAACATGAAACCCGATAGTTGGGTTTCATTCATTTTAACCACTTAACCTATTGCTCATCTGACTAATTACCATTTTCGGTTAATAGGTGGTAGTTGAATGCTTAATTAATTTAATTTTATAAAAGCTACTAACGCACGTTCGATGATTCTTTATCTAAGAACAGCGACAGCCAGAAAGTTAATCTGGCTTTGTTTTCTCTATAGATAGCTACATTAGAGACTATGGGGCAGTAGTTGTGATGCTTTCTTTCTTGGAGTTTCACATAAAATTACTTCAACCGCAAAGTGTAAGAGAAATTTTTCATAGACTGATTGTACGTTTTAATAACAAAACCTGACCAGTACAGAACTATCCTGTATAACTTTGTATCATTAGACGACAAACACTGTTTCTCCAATGTTTTTCAGTGGTTTGGAAGCAAAATTCGAAATACTAGGTGTTACAGAAAAATGTATTTTGAACAGGTCAAATTAGGAGACGAGATGGAAAACTACTGTCTAAGGTTCCGAAAGTCAAGTATGTAGGAATATTTTGACCCCTCATGGGGCAAACAATAATGATAAAGACGATATACAACCGTTTGGTTAGATATTCTAGAGTACATGTAACACGGCTGCTACCACGTTTGTGCCCAACTTTTGGTTTAAGCATACAGTGCTTTTATATTCGGTATCATTCCATAGCATACCCTTAAAGTTGAAGTTGTAAACTTGAAATTACTTACTTTGGTTTAGTTAACTCAATTGGTAGCCCAGTTTTTGTATTTTAAATAAGGTTGACAATTTAATGTACTGAATTGCATATGGTTGTAAGGTTTTGTTACTGATTGTGTAATCCAACAAGTCTTATATACAGTTAAAAACAGGCCTTAAACTGGTATATTGCAAGGTTATTTATTTTTTAGGAAATAAATTGGTCTGATGTCTATAACCGACGTTTGAAACCACCTTTCCGTCCTAAACTAACTGCTGAGAATGATGTGTCGATGTTTGACCCATCGTTTACCCGTTTACAACCAGTTGTTAGTCCTGTCGATGGTGGTGCATCCATTCCTCCGGATATGTTCCAAGTTAGTTTTTCATTAATTAAAAGTTGATGGTTAAACTCACAATAAGTTGTAATGAATACTTCTGTGAATAAGATTTTCAAAAAGAACAAGTCTTTAAGTGACCACTAATTTGTTATGATATAAGACACTATAACATTGAATGTACTTCTTTGCTAAGGCAGGACATTACTAAAAGTTAGCCGTCAAAAAATCCTTCCTAACATGTCAGGAACCCACATCTGATCGTTTGATTGTATCGACTTAAATCATCCTATTCAGAGATTTCTTTTGATTCATGAGTGTGTAAAAGCTTTACCTACTTTTTAGTTTCAAATAAGCCTAGTTTGTTGTTTTCCATTTTGTGGTACCAATGATGTGAATCAGTTGTAGCCATTAAGAATTCAACGTATAGCGTAAAAGCATTCTAATGGGGCTGGTAATCGATGATTTCGCATATAAGAAAGGAATTCTACTAGTTGATATAAATCCCCAAGGTAATCCATTAATTAGTGTCATACATAGCCACAAACTAATTTCACTATACTCAGTATTATTGCTAGTTAAAAATCATTAAGGAAAATCCAATACTAAATAGCAGCTGGTGGTAAAAAGTCAGTTGAACTACAGCGAAATCACTAACACTGGTTTTCGTTACAATACACTACTTTTATCCGACCTCTGATGAGCAAGTTATAGATTGTAACATTAGGTTGTTGCTCTTGTGTAACTGCTGTCCACTTTTTGCCGTCAGTTGAGGTAATAACAAATGAGTTTACTTAACTAGGGGTTAATAATACTAAGAAATCATACGGTTCGTTCGCCATTTATCAAATAGCTAAAAGATACTTAATCTGACTTCACTGTTTCACCACTCTTCAGTTTGTGGCGTTTCCACTCACTAGTACCAAAACCATGAGACCAAAGTGTGCGTTAAACCAGCTCTAGCTGTTCAACCGTAGCTCATTAAAATCATCATTTTAGAGAAAAATGTATGCTTTATTATCCTCTATTCAGAGTTAGTGTGTCTTATGATAACTGGACCATAATCGGTCTGTAAACTATGTATTATTTTCAACAAATCAAAACACACTGTTGTTTCGAACATCTCACTCAGTATGTTTATATATTTTATCATAGTTCACTGATATTTCCTATGATTAAGACCACATCTTCACAGTCTTAACCACATATACTTAAATGTATTAATGAAATATTCATTTCTCCAAATCACAGATGAACATTATAAAACTGTTATACTTGTGACCGCCAATTAATGTGCAATGACTTATCGATCGGATCAATAACGTGTAAACCCGTATGAGCAGTCTAAAGTACTTATAGGTCCTGCTTCATGCCTACCCCAGCCAGTTAAGTTCAGAACACCAATCTCAGTCTCTGCAATATGAATCATTATATTTCAAACATACTGAGTTCATATACCAATCAAACAGATCACATCGTACCATAAAATAGAAAACAACATTTATACAAGATTTGGCCAAATGTGGCTGTGAATGTGTGGGAGGCAGTGACTAATAGACGGCATAATTCAAGAATGATAAGTCTTATAATAATGGTCCATAGGTCAAAATAAAGCTTATAATAAGAGGAATATGAATATGAATAGTTTAGTTATTTAACAATTATACGATAAAAGTATACGTTTAGTACTGGTCCATAAATGGATTCCAAAGTTACCATTCATTGTGCTTATCGGGAGCTAACAAAAACAAAAAGCTTTAAATAACGCCATCCATTGAAAAATCAAACTACTGTATATGCATCACGTAGTGATTTACAATTTTAATTAATATTTTTACTTAATTTCTAAATTCTTTAGTGATGGTAATCTGACATAAATAAACATGCATATACACAAAAAACATCCACACATCCATCTACTCATCTCTATTTGTCCTACCAGGGCTTTTCGTATGTGGCACCGAGTGTCTGTGAGGATAGTTTACGAGATAATTGGACAGATAACTTACCAAGTCGTCATCGAAGACATGGGTAAGTAGATTTTTTTACTATTAATTGTTTATTTCCATAATCTCGTAAATCCAATCTCATAATTTGCTTGTCGGTTTACTGGTTGCCTTTTTATTGTACCTGGTAATACTATTCATAATTATAATACAACTCATCTACAAAATAAAAGTTTATTTAGTCAGACTTCAGAAGCATTTTTTTATGAGGACTAGTGGTTTACGTGGAGTTTTGTTCTCTGATCTGGATGGTTCAGCCGTAGAGCTTTCACTGTTCTTCTGAACAACATTATTAGTACGAACTTCAGGTTGAAGTGAAGTGTTTGAATTTCTCCACATATGACTCACAGCTTTTCTTGTCGACCTCGATCTTGATTGGTTATTGTTGACCTTTAACTTGGCATTGTCTACCTCATTATTTTGATTGTATCTCCCTTTGATTTGATTCTTGGTCCTATATTTGTCCATGATTTTTCCAACTTGTTAATAGGCTGGGTTGATTTCGATGTGTTTATTGATTGTTGATTAACTTGAGTGCCAAGCTTCTAAAAATTCTCTATTGTTTTTAGTATTTCCTCCATCCAAGATCTCAACATTTTTCCAGTCGAATATGTGTCCACATGCATTGATATAAGCGAGGATATGTTATGGCGTTTGACTGTTAATTGATGTTTGTTAGCCCCCAAATGCCCTGACACGGCCGAGAGTGGGGAGAGTCCGCTCTCCTTTTCGAAATGCTCTCACACGGCCACGCGTATATAGCCTCTGCCAGGGAAGTCCTACTCACTGCCTCCTCGTGGTGGGGGTGTTGTTTACGAAATTGCGAGGACAAAAAGCGAATATCCGGCGCTTTAACCGGGCTGGTCAGTCAGTCAGTAACAACGTAGAACTTCGTACGTACGTACATCAGTTCGAGTTGCCACACCACATTAGCACAGAGATGCAGTTGTCGATTCAAATCCTGTAGTGGTAGAGGTTATAAGAGTATAAGCAGTAATCGGGAAGATTAGGGTTTGGAGATGTTATTTAAAGAGTATAATCCAGTGAAATAAATTTGGAAAGAGGAAAAAAGAGACATGAAGAATTCAGAAGATTAGAATTTGGGAGAACACAGAGAGTGGATGCACCTGCGCCATTGCAAACGATTTTGAGCCATGTCATTCAGGGTCTCTAACCATCGGTTGCTGTTATCTCGCGGTCCCCAACCAGGTAGTCTACACCTACCAACATGACTCAGTCCACTTGTCAGTGACTTCATGGACTTGTGCCATGTTTTGGTTTGGCCGCCCCTAGCTTTCTTCCAACCTGCTCCTATACCATTGAACATAGCACGTCGAGGCAGTCGGTGGTTGGGCATACGTAACACGTGTCCCAGCCATCTCAACTGATGAAGTTTCACTACTTCATCAATTGATTTGCCATCCTTACCTAGTACCCGTCTCCTAACAACTGTGTTACTTACTCGATGGTCCCATGATATACGAGCAATGTTTCGAAGATACCTATGGTCAAATACTAGTAACCTACGGATATCCTCTACTCTTACCGGCCATGTTTCACTGCCATAAAGTAGGACGGAACGAACTGCTGCGCAGTAAACACGTCCTTTGGTTGATAGACGGATATCTCGCCTACGCCATAAATGACACAAGTTGGCAAAAGCTAGTCGAGCCTTCTGTATCCGTGCTGAGATTTCGTCACACACTAAACCACAAGGGCTGATGAGACTTCCAAGATAAGTGAAGCGGTCGACACACTCAACTACTTCACTCCCTATCACTAGTTCGGGTGTCGATGTAACCCAATCCTGAAGCAACATTTTGCATTTCGAGGGAGAGAATCGCATCCCGAACATGCTTGCATTGTTGCTTAGAGTGGTCAGAAGACTCTGCATTTTGTCAGCGTCTTCACCAAATAAAACTATGTCATCTGCATATTCTAAGTCAACAAGTGAACCTCCCGGTACAAGTTCAACCCCTGGAAATTTAGATGAGGAGAGTGTTATCTCTAAAAGTACGTCAATGACAAAGTTGAACAAGAATGGGGAGAGTGGACAGCCCTGACGAACACCACTTGAGGTAATCAATTCTGATGACAGTTCGCCATAAGCTCTCACTCTACCAGTTGTGTTCGAGTAGAGAGCCTTTATAAGGTTAATGTACTTCTTTGGTACTCCTTTCAGTGACAAATACTGCCATAGAACCTCACGATCAATAGAGTCGAATGCCGCCTTAAGGTCGAGAAATACTACCATTGTGGGGCGTCTGAATGTGTGTCTCTGTTCTAGAACCTGACGTAGTGTGAATATCTGATCTATACAACCACGTCCAGGTCGAAAACCGGTCTGGTTTTCTCTAATTTGCTCTTCACGAGCTTTGATTAGGCGTCGAAGTATTATTGAGGCTAATATTTTAGACACTATGTTGGTCAAACTGATTCCTCTGTGATTGTCACAAGAGGACTTTTGTCCTTTCTTATAGACTGGCACAATCAGTGATTGAGACCAGTCAGATGGGATTACGTACAGTCCCCAAATTCTACCTAAGACCTCGGTTAATCTCATTGCTAATACTGGACCACCATCCTTAAAAATCTCAGGAGTAAACCTGTCAGGGCCTGCTGCTCTCCCTCGTTTCAGATTTCCTATGGCTTTTTCAACTTCGTAAAGGAACGGAGGACCTACATTAACTTGCCATTCAGGTTGACTGGAGATCGTGGGAAACCGAAGTGTGGCTGAAGGCCAGTTGAACTGATCCCTAAAGTGTTCTGCCCATCGATCCAATCTCCTGGATTGAGAATGAATAAAATGTCCATCTTTCTCTGAGATTGTTTCGCTAACGGTCGGGTTCCTAATTCCGGTTTCCTTAACGAGTCTAAACAATTGTCTGCTATTACCTATTGCCGCTGCCTTTTCCATCTCTCTTGCTTTCGCTACCCACCACTGTTCGCGATCATTGCGTAGACTTCTTGTCAGCTTGCGCTCTAGCTGACTCCGCTCTTCATTATGTTCAGAGCCAGGTAGAATGAGTTTTCGAGCATCTATCAGTGCGATAGATGCTGCTGAGATCCAGTGTTGCTCCCTAACCTTCTAGTTTACCTTACTAGCAGATATCACTGCTGTTTCCACAGCTTTTCGGATATCGTTCCATGCTGCCTCGGGGTGGGCATCACATACATGGCTGCCTAACTGTTTGCCTAGTTGTTCCTGAAATATACTCTTAGCTTGACTATCATTAAGTAGGCCCCTAAGAGGTTTCCTTGCAGCGTCTTTCCTACGTCCAGTAAGACGCAAGCAAATACGCGCTCGCACTAGAGCATGATCTGAATCTAGGCATGTGCTCCAGAATGAGAGACAGTCTTCTATCGAGCCCCTCCATCGGTGGCTGATAGCGATGTGATCTATTTAGGTCCAACGTTGGGACGAATTAGGGGGTCGCCATGTTAAAAGATGTTTTTCCTTATGCTTAAAGTTAGTATTTGCAAGGAACAGGCGGTTATCTGAGCATAACTGCAACAGACGGTCGCCGGAATCCAACGGTGTTAGTTTCTAACTTCAACTAATCCACGAAATCGAGTGACACATCCACATCCGGCTCAGTGGTCTAGTGTTTAAGTGCTGGCGCGCGAAACAAGTAGGTCGTGGGTTCGAATCTCGCAGGGGACGAGGTCGTGGATGCGCACTGCTGAGGAGTCCCACAATGGGACGAAACGGCCGTCCGGTGCTTCCAGGTTTTCCATGGTGGTCTAGCTTCAACTAACTCATGATCTTAACCATTGAAATTACTATAGTATCAACAAAACCCGTCTGATATTTATTTATTTTAACACATTGATATTGGTACAAGATGGCACCAAATACATATGCGCCACGGGCTGTGATACTGCCCGGGTGCCCAAACCGGAGCGGGTGGTTTTCTTGGGGGGTCATACACAGAGCCTCCTACCTTAAGGTCTGATCCACAAGGTAGTGGACAGCGTCAGGAGTTACAGTCTCATGGTAGCCGGTGACCAATAATTGGTTCATACGCCATTTGTTCCGTCAGGATCCTGGAACCCATGTGCACAATTGGTTTGGAATCAGGGTTTCCCAACTCTCCTAGGTTGATGCTCCGTGTCCACCAACTCCCTTTTCTTACTCTTAATTTCCTAAACAATAATGCTGTGAAGAAATGAGTAGGACTTCCCTGTCAATGGCTGTATACGCGTGGCCATGTGAGAGCACTTCGAGTGGAGAGCGGACTCTCCCCACCCTTGGCCGTGTCAGGGCTTTTGGGGGTTGTTCTGTAAATGATATTCGGTTTTTATTCTTTTGTCATTTCGTCCTTTGATTTGCTACGGATTGATTGGAGTGGTTTTGCTTGTTTGTGTGATAAATCTATTCCAAACGGCTCCATTAGTCTCTTTATAACTTTTGATGTCTTTTGTATATGATGGGATAATCGTTTCGTTGTTTTTTCGTTTCTGCTGATATGTTGGGTTGATTTTTTTTCGATAACGTTTCATAGGTAGCTGTTCTTTCGGAGGATAGTCATTAGATGTTTTTACGCGCTGCAAGCGTGCCGCAGTGTGTTCTCGCCTCCTTGGACAAGTTTGTACGCAGTTGATCTTGTGATGTCTTGGGTTGTTGCTACTGTAATTGAGAATCTGATCCGTGTGGGTAGGCTTCCGATGCACTTAAGTCTCCAGTTTTCCTATGTTGGTTCCGGTGATTAGTACATCCAAAACTGTTAGTTTGTTGTTCAACTACTTTTCCATTGTGAATTTTATGTCATCAAAGACGTTAATCAGATTGTAGATGATTTTCAGCTGGTCTGTTTTAATGGTAACAATTATATCGCCCACATGGCGAATCCACATTTTTGGCTTGATCACTGGCAAGATCGAGGCTTTCAGTCTCTTCATCACTACTTCAATAAGTCCTGGTATTGGTAATTCCTCTGGCGTTCCTTTCATTTGTTCGTAGTCAGTCAGTCAGTCAGCTACAACGTAGGACCAGACACATATGTGCATCGGTCCAGGTTGCCATACCTCATTAGCACAACAAGATGAACACCGGATTCATAGGAGTGGTTAGGTCAAAGGTTGCAATAAGGATATAGTATAGGAAGGAAGAATTAGTTCGTAGAAAGAAAGATATGAAGTGATTTTAATCTCTTAGTTTAAGGGAAGACAAAGAGTGTATACACCGACGCCATAGTGATCGATTCTGAGCCATGTCACCAAGAGTCTCCAACCATTGGTTACGAAAGTCACGCGGACCCCAACCAAGTAGTCTGCATCGTAGATTTCATTACAGAATTGAAAGTATGTTGTTAAGCATAAATCGATGGGTTCTAGTAAACTTTATCTCCGAAGCTTCCTATACTTTAGGACATTTGTGTCGTTTGTGAGAAGCAGGGATAGAGTTTCCTTTTCTACGCTTGGTTCAGTTGAGGAGAATAAAGCTGTTACTTACCTACGCCTGTTACCCCTTGTCAAGAAGCATAGGTCGCTCACCAGCATTCTCCATCAAACTCTGTCCTCGACAATCTTTCCTACTTGCTTCCAGTTGCTAGTCATCTTTTTCATGTCTACTTCCAATTCTCAGCTCACTGTATTATTTGGCCTTCCTCTTTTCCATTTCAATTCAGGATCTCAAGTTAGTGCTTGTCTCGTGATGCAGCTTGATAATTCCCTCAATTTGTGTCCTATACACTCCCAACATCTTTTCCTAATTTTCTCTTCAGCTGGAAATTTGTTTGTTCACTTTCAGAGTAGGCTGTTAATGATGGTATCCGGCCAATGGATTTTGAGTATCCCGCGTAGACAACTATTTATAAATACCTGTACATTGTTGATGATGGTTGTAGTTCTCCACGTTTCAGATCTCTACAATATAACTAACTGTGTTGACGTTCGTATTGAAGATTCTGAGAGACTGCTGCTACACTGTTTGTCTTGACCTGCATTTATTGATGTGTATGGGATAGAAGGACCAAATCATCTGCGAAATCCTAATCATCTAGTTGCATCCAAACTGTCCACTTTATTCCATGCTTCCCGTCAGATGTGGAGGTCTTCATAATTCAGTCAACCACCAGAAGAAAGAGAAAGGGGAAAAGTAGGCAGCCTTGTCTGACTTCGGTCCTTGCTTGAAATGCGTCTGTCATCTGTCCTCTATGCACGACTTTGCACTATATTCCGTCGTATGAGTTCTGTATGATGTTGACGATCTTCTTAGGTACTCTATAGTGTCGAGGAAGTTTCCATCACGGTCTCCATACTGTCAAATTCTTTCTCATAATCAATGAAGTCGATGTGTAGTGACGAATCAAATTCAATTGATTTTTCAAAGTTGGTCCATTGTGTCGCGATCTGTTCTGTGCACGCCCGATACTTACGGAATCCGGTTTCTTGATCGAAGCTGGGCGTCCATCGAGTCTTTCATTCTGTTCAGCAACAGTCTATTGAAACCCTCCTGGTATTTACAGTAATGTGATGCCTCTCTGGTTCTCATATTTGCCGAGATCTCCTTTCTTCGGTATCTTGGAAAGGCATCCTTCTTTCCGGTCCGTGGGCACTTGTTTTTCCTCCCAAATCTTCCTGAATAGAACGTGAAGAATACTTGCAGTTACTTCTATATCTTACTTTAGTGCTTCGGCTGGTATATTGTCATGTCCAGCCGCTTTCCAACTCTTGACTTTTCTGATGGACATCTTAATTTCTTCGATCGTTAGTGGAGTGACATCTAAAGGAAAGTCCGTAGGTGCTGCTTCGATATCTGGTGGTTTCAATGGAGCTGGTTTATTCATGAGTTCCTCAAAGTGTTCCACTCATGTGCTCCTCTGTTATTATTGGCTTGCCTTCTTTGTCCTTGACCGATTTCTCTGGTTTGCTAGATTTTCCTACCACCTTTGTCGAGTCATATAGTTGTTCCATATTTCCTCCTCTTGAAGCTTTTTTCGCTGCCGTTGCTAGGTCTTCCACGTATTTCTGCTTGTCGGCTCTAATGTTCTTCTTCTTTTGCTTGTTTGCTTCAATGTGCTCAGTTTGTGCCTTGACTTTCTCTGTTCTTGTTCGACTGTTAATTACTGTCTTTTATTCTTCCTTTCGTGAATCTTGTCCAGGGTTTCGATAGAGATTCATTCCTTATGATGGTGGTTCTTGCAGCCCAGAACCTCCTGACACGTTGAATTTAATGCTTCTTCGATCTCTTTCCAGTTGTCTTCCACAGCAGTTTCTTCTTTCAGTAGATCCTGTTAGGCTTGGAACCTGTTTTCGAGAGTTATCTTGGATTAAGTTTGTCAGTATATCAAAGCAAGGCTGTATTGAACCTTTGTAATGCTGTTTGTCCAGTTGTCCGGTGTTTCTTTAGCTTCAGTTTCATCTAGGTCACAGCTATGTCAGCTCCTCATGGTTTTCATGTCTTCCCTTGACCTTGTGATTTTTTTTACTGATGCAAATATGATATATCTGGTTCTCCGTGGTATGATCCGGTGGGATCTATGTAGCTTTGTGTATGCGTTTGTGTGTAAATATTGTGCAACCTATAACCAATTTGTTGAATGCACATTGGTTTGAAAATCTCTCACCATTATCTTTCCTTTCTCCCAGTCAGTTCATGTCGTCCCATGGTATCTTAATAACCGTTGTTATCCATTCCGACTTTGGCGTTTAGATCTCCCATCAGGATTGTCAGGTTCTTTCCTGCGCACTCCGGTATGGCTGATTGCAGCCACTTGTAGAACTGATCTCTATCGTCACTATTGCTATGGTTGGTGAGTGCATAACAATGGATGAAATTCATTGTAATTCCCTCCCTGGATCTATGAGATTACCGTCATATAAGTGCATTTGTGCCTCTTTGGGCAGCATCAGAGCAACTCTCTGAGTGTGTTGAGCATTTTTCTCTTCGTGACCGGAGTACAGCAGAATCTCTCCCGTGTCTAGCCTTTGCTGTTCAGATTGTGTCCAATGGGTTTCGCTGACCCTGAGCACTTCCAAATTGTATCTTCTCATTTCCGTTGCTATTTGACTGATCTTCCCGGTCTCCCACATTGTGTGGACGTTCCATGTACCTATAAAAATTGTTGCTCTGGTTGTTAGAAGGGAAATGAGCCTCGTGACTTCCGAAGAATCTCAGCTTTCATGTTGAAGTATCATAATTGTTTTTTGAACTTGGAAGGCAGAGTTTAAATGGTTTGAATTGTTTATGCTGGTTGGCGTTTCTTTAGCAAGCTTGTTTTTTTACGTGATGGGGTTCCCGTCCCATACACCTAACTCTCCTCTTTTGCGTGGGCTTGGGACCAACAGTAGTCCTAGAAAAGCTACAGGCAAAGTTGAATAAGGCTGTTACATCGATGAACACCATTAGTTAGTCGTTGTTGACTTGAATCTCTTTAATCTTATCCAAGAATTGTATGGGGGATTTAATGAAACGATTGATGATTCTATTATCCTCTCAAAACTAAAGTATGTGAAGAGTAAATTGAACGTACGATTTTTAAACCGAAAAGTTGAATACTTTTACTACTAAGGTGCTGTTTCCACACCGCATTCACTTTATTAATTTAGAATGGAATTTTTTTAAGTGATAGTAATGTATGACATTCGAATATAGATATGTCACAGTTATCCAAAAACCTGTAAAGGTGTTCGCATCAATGATGCTACTCCTAGTTTAGTTGATCTCTTCGACCACATTATTTTTATCAGTTTAGTTTAGTAGAGATCGTTCACTTTTATTGACATCACAGACCAATCTAAGTTAATCAACCATTGATCTATAACAAGATTTCACGTTGCAACATTCAGTTTTGCTTATATTTTTCTATTTAATCCTTTTAAAACTTTATTTTACTTTTATTGTTGTATAGTTTACGTGGCGCTATGTCTGCTGGACGTTTAAGACGTATTGGTTTCGGTCATTTGACTGCACCTAATCGAATTCCTGAAGATATTGTCGTACATAATATTCCATTACAGGTTCAACCGGAATTGAATGATTTCCATGATTTTAGTGCAGACTATCGACAAAAGCCTGTGATGCACCAATCGTCTAATCATGTATCAACTCAAGGGATCGCAAACGATAAACGTACTGCTCACTTACCTAATCATCATTATCAACAACAATGCTATTCAAACGATACACAACAGCTGCACAAAATTTCAGGAAAATCAACTCAGATAATCACGTCCAATGGTACTACAAATAGTAATAATGCTGTAAAAAAAGAAAAGGAAGCGGATGAGCAGGAAGACGATGACGATGATGAAATAGCTGCAGAAGAAGAAGACAATGTTCCAGGAGCAAAACAAATACAACCAACAAGTGCTCCAAAATATTTGCCACTTTGTAAATATGAATCTAAAAGCAATGATATAGTGACTAATATCAACACTAACAGTATTTATTCAACCACAAAACCATCCAGTAAGAATCCTACAAAATATGCACCCTTCAGTGGTTCACTTCAATGTCATCCAGAGTTGCATGCAAATACAAAAATGATCAATTCACGTTTAATGTATAGTTGTCAAACTGGATCATTTCCACATAATAAATCAGGACATGCTACAACATCACATCTTCCCTCAATACAAAATGGACCACGTATCACTTCACCTTTACAACGTCGTGGTGTAAATTGTGCAACAACGTTGCATTCAGATGTATCTAATACTATTCCCATTACTCCTACTACTGTAGCAACAAGTACAAATACTTCAACAAATGCTAAATGTAGTATTATGTAATATTGTACAGTATCTTGCTCATTCATATCATACTGTGATTCTTATGTAAAATATCAAAATAGATTCATATTCTTTAAAGCTCTCATCTCATCAAACTCACATTAAATCATCATCTATTAACAATGAACATCTATTTACTTTGATGAAAGATGAATTCCACTCTCAAGCTCCGTTGTCTAAAAACATATCTATATCGTTTATCTTCATAATTTCTTGATTTCTTTTGTTTTTCTAATCTGGAAAATTAATATATCATATATTCTCATATTTGTAATAGTTTATAATGATGTTGGGATCCATGAGATGATAGTAACCGATGGTTAGAGATCTTGAATGTAACATGGTTCAAAATCGTTTGTAATGGCTCAGGCGCATCCAATCTTTGTATTCTCCCAAATTTTAATCATCTGAATTCTTTATATCTCTTTCTCTTTTTTCTCTTTCCAAATTTATTTCACTGGATCATACTCCTTGAATAACATCATTAAACCCTGATTTTTCCGATAACTGCTTATACTCTTACTACCTCTACCACTATGGGATTTGAATCGACAATTGTATCTCTATGCTAATGTTGTAAGGCAACCTGAACAGATGTACGAACGTACGAAGTTCTACGTTGTTACTAACTAATTGATAATGATGTGTTTTGGATGAGTTCTAGTACTGTTTACTTCTTTTCAAAACATGAAGTAAAACATACATGTTATAAGTTCATACACAAATGATTTTTATATATCTTCCTCCCTCTCTCCCCCTCTTTCTCTTTCTACACATATATACGCACATACAGCTTGTTTACACATGTATATAAATCACCAATATGTTAAATATTCATCTATCACTCTAAACATTCCTAACATTTTATACCAACATTATCATTCCTTCACATTGTTTATATTTCTGTATTAGCACTATTTTTTTCTTTGTTGTTCATATCTCAGTTGTCCATTGGTTAACTACTTTATATCCTATTGGTTGACTAATTATACCATATACTTTATATGATCATTGCTGCTCCCTCTTTTTCTTCGGTTCATATATAAAAATAATTTTGTGCACATCATTTATTCTGATATGATTATAGTAGCCATATATAGAGTATATCAGTAATATTCTTGTTTTAAATATGTATTCAAACTTCAGGACAATTTTGTCTTCAGAACACTGTTCATCTTGTTTTCATCAATTGTTTTCCTCTCTTCTTAAGTGGAAGGTGTGAGCTGGGTAAATATTAAGTGAACAGTCTGCCCAAATGTACATTACATAATTTTGTTTTTTTTTATGTAGGAATTGACTAGACAGTTATATTTATCTTTGTTATATATATGGTCTCTCTTTGCAATTGATTTATCTCTGGGTGGTAATCAATGTCATGTATATCAGGTCCTTTTTAGTGCAGATCGAATCCTATCAACCAAGTTGAAATGTGGCCACTAGTCTAGGTGACTCGACATTACATGTAATATGTTGAGGTAGTCGACAGGAAACCATGGACCTAGGTTTTATGCTACTTGGCACTCGTCAACAAGGTGTATCTATAATCTTAATGGAACTGATGCACCCTGGCGGATGAGATCCCGTGTCACCCAGAGACGTTACCACTGGGTTATCTGGTCCGCGACTGATCTGTAAGACTGAGATGACGGTGATCACCACCAAGTGATCAGTCAATTATAAATACACGGGATCGAATCCGTCAGGGAGCATCAATCCCCTCAAGATTATAGGTACACCTTGTTGACGAGTGCCAAGTAGCACGAAACCTTGGTCCAGGGTTTCCTGTTTACTACCTCCAATCACCATCTTATTCTCTACTAAATTATTCATCAAATAGTGTGTATGTTGTAAGATTTTCACAATATATAATATAACTGAGTATAAAACGTTCTTTCAATTTATAATAAGGATGATAATGTGTAACTGGTAGATTTTGTTATATGAATGCTTTAAACACTAACCATATTATTTCAAAAACTCTGACTCTTAAACGGCGAACAGAAGAAAGATGGAAGATTATGAGGAGACAGCTTTACTTCGAAGATTGTTATATATGTACAAGAAACAAAGATATTCATAGTAGGTGATCTTGAGGAATAAGATTCTTAAATTGTTAGGATATTTATTCACTGGAAAGGTATGCTGAGTACTTTCCTGGATTTCTCTCGGGGGTTTTCGAAGAAAGTTAATTCCACAGAATACGTTTGTCAATTTTTTAGGCCTCAGGAAAATTCCGTAAATAATTATCGACGTCTAACAAAAACCATAAATATTAAGGCAAAAAACTATTTTCTTTCGTTCGCATAAGAGTCATGATCCCCATTCAGTGCTTAAAATGAAATGGTTGATCAATGCTGGTTGTTTTATCATGATAGCTGATGGCCAGCGTAAGTCTATATATAGTTAACTCCTTTATTATCCTGAATCACCATTGGTTTGAAATCAGGCGTTTCCATGTACTCCTAATAAAGTTTCTATCTATCTGATTTTAGCTCCGGATCTCCGCTTTTACCTTTTAACTTCTCAAGACAATTTTATCACTTGAGATTTAATGAGTAGGTAAACTATGGAAGTGTATATGACCACCAAACTATCACAGTGACCATTAAATTGGAATACAGCGTTCTATCTTCCCAGCTTTGATCAATTCGTGATAGACAATGACGAATATCCAGTCTCATTCCCTAATTGGTTGGACCCAAGCAGTCAAAACTATTAATCAGTACTTCGAGAATTTACATCGAGCTTATACACTGATGAACACATACGATTATCGATTTATCTGTCTAAAAGGGAGGTTTGTGAATAAAGCATTATTTACTTCATTCCCATGGATACAAATAAAATATGAACCACGTAGGAATCCTTACTTAATCTGTAAACATGTCACCATTGCTGCAACTATTATCTGTTACTGACTGCATCAGTAAAAACATACATTGATGGAAAAGTAATGGTATTCGTAAGGACTTGTATTACACTACTGTTGTTATTAAGGATAATTCATCGGTGTTTGAAATTTTAGACACTTGGTTTGAGTATTAATGCAAACCCTAGCACTGGTATTTGACAAGTATATTCAGCGTACGAGTGTCAACTGTGTCTTGGATCTCATTACTAACCACTGTTAATAAGGTCGGATATTTCTAATCAATGTAAGTGAAGGACTGAGATTCGCAAGACAAGTACAACAAATTGATATTTATTCAAATTAAATCCAATATTTAGAGTATTCTAAAGGTTCAAAGGTCACAAAATCTGTTCCAAATACTTCACTTTAAATATAAATACCATAAGTGTATTAACAACTTTTACTGTTTCAAAATTGTCTAACACAAAGGAATCTAAATTGTTTCAGAGAACTGAACATAGTCAGATGAATAGTTAAAGCAAAATTTTACTTAGTTATTTACTTACGACTGTTATCCCTCGTCGAGAAGCATAGGTCGCTCACCAGCATTCCTCACCAAACTCTGTTCTCGAAACTCCTTCCCACTTGCTCCTAGTTGCTATTCACTCTTCATATCTGCTTGCAATTCCCGACACAGTGTGTTCGCTGGCCTTCTAATCTTCCATTTCCATTGAGGAATTCAAGTTATTGCTTGCCTCGTGATGCAGTTTGATAATTTTCTACAGTGTATGTCTTATCCACTTCCAACATCTTTTCCTAATTTCCTCTTCAGCTAGAAATTGGTTTGTTTTCTCCCACAGTAGGCAGTTGCTGATAAATATTTGGTACCTTGTACAGACAATTGTTTATAAATACTTGTACATTGTTGATGATGGTTGTAGTAGTTCTCCAAGTTTCAGCTCCCTCCAATATAGCTAACTGTGTTGACGTTCGTATTTAAGATTCAAACTTTGATATTGGCTTGAAGACAGTTGTTTTGAGTTCCATATGTTCTTCAGTCATAGAAGTGCCTCCCTTGATTTGCCGATCCTCACTTGTACATGTGCATAAGATCCTCCACATTCATCGATGATGCTACTCAGATACATGCATGCTCCCATCTGTTCCAGAATTTCTCCATCAAATGTGATTGAATTGATGTTTCTACGTTATATTTGAGGATGTTGTTTTTTCCCTTGTGTATGTTGAGTTCTACAGCCACAGAGACTACTGTTACACTATTTGTCATTATCTGTATTTGTTGATATGTACAAGACAAAAGGGCCATAAATCAAAAGCAAACTATGCAGGTCGAACATAATCTTTACATGATCTGAGTATAAACAACTAAATGATCAATCAAAGTGTCTTATTACCGTCTAGGTTATTTCTAAGCGAGCGAGAGACAGAGAGAGAAGACAGTACCTATAAAATACTATACAAAATGCAGGGTATATTGAATAACCTAAAGAATGCCAAAAACGGTACAATTATTTCAACTTTTAAATAACTCAAAAAATGTTTCATTAATACAACAAAAATAAGCAATTTTTTTTAAGTAAAATCAAGACAATAAGTTCATTTTGACAAAATGAAAAGAGAAATATTCAATTGATTTTTTTCTTCTAAAGTCAAATTGATTAACATCATTGGATAGTGGCTGGCTCAGTAATTTAGAGGTTAAGCTTTGGGACACGAAACCGAAAGCCCTGGACTCGAGTCCCAAGTGCGAGATCGTGTCTGCCTACTGCTGAGGAGTCCCATACTAGAACTTAATGGCTTTCCTGTGCTTCTAAGTTTTCAATGGTGTTCTAACATTGATCCATTCATGATTTTAATTGAGACTGAACAATCTTCATAACCCTATATTGATTAATTTTATAAAACTGTAATTGACTGAAAACATTTCATTTTATTACACGTTTGTCAATTCATTTATTTAGATGGAATTAAGCGATTTGATTGACTTGCAATTTAGAAGTTTTTTACATAGCCAACCGTAACTGTTCAGTGACATGTTTCCATTTTTTATTCACTTCTTTAGAGACTATCATATACAAAGAGAATTTCAAACTATACATGTAAGGGAAATCAATCTAACTTTTGTTCTTAAACTAGTCCTTAACTATAAGCAAAGATGCGTAGTGGCTATGAGATGCAGATACATCCAGTTGACGAGTCTCGAATAGAACGAAACGAGCATCAATCTGGATTCCAATGCCAGCCACTTAGAAGCACAGGAAAGCCATTAAGTTCTAGTATGGGACTCAGCAGTATGCAGACACGATCTCGCAATTGGGATTCAAGTCCAGGGCTTTCGGTTTCGTTTACAAAAGCTTAACCTCTAAATTATTGAGCCAGCCAATATCCAACGATGTTAATCAATTTGACTTAGGAAGAAGAATCATAATTTCAAGATTTCCTATCGACTACCTCGAACCACTATCTTATACTACACTTTCATCTTTCAAAATGAATCAAGGCATTTAAGAATTCTTCTTCTAAGAACAATTGGTTAAACAAAATTTGTCAATCATATAGAGGTAATGGCAAAAAAGCTTCCTTTATCCGTAACTGAACCAGCTATTTGAATGAGAAACCAAAAGAGAGTAAAAAGCTTTCATTGTTCAACCGAATCGAAAAAACACATTTATCAATATTTATCTTTCTTACTTAGAAAACAAAAGGAAATTTTCTTTCCTTAGAAACTGAAATCGAATCTTGCCTGTTAGCAATTCTCAGAGTATAAACTCTATAACAACTTCTACAACTAAGATGTAATCGATGTAACAAGCTTAATGAACTTTATCAAAATGTCTCTTATAGGTTAGAAAGATTCATGGTACAATGGTATATTACGCCGATTTCAATCTCCCTAGGAATAATGAGTTTCAATAAAGATCATAAAGTACGTGTATGACATAATAAAGAAGTTGGAGATTACGACTGTTCGTAAGAAACCTTTATACATGAAACTACAATTCAATGGGGATGTGGCTAGTGATACTCTGAAATATAGGTTAACGAAAGTAATAACCAGGACATTCTACGCAGTCAATCTTGTGTTGGCTTTCTCTTGTGGATCATCGATGTTTACCCAAACGAAGGATAAGTTACCTGAGTTGGCCTCCTCAGTGTGCATTTACAAATTAAACTGCTCCTGTGGAGATAGCTATGTTGGGCGTATTACCAGGCAACTTAACCAAAGATCGTCACATGTCATGGTATCATGAGTTTTCAATATTATCGAAATAATCAATGAATGAAGTGATCTTAGCAAATCAATTCAATATATTTTTCTAATGTAAGCTCAAAGATGTCTTGAAATGAGAAAATCATGATGAAAAAAAAGAAGAAAATTTATTGATACCCATCAAAACGATCACAGTTTTTTTTATCTTACACATTGACAAATATGATCTCAAGCACCTAGTTACAATTAAACTTCATTTA